TGAAGAAAAGAAATGCATTGTGTATAACTTTCAAACATTGCATAGGATTGTTTTAATTTGAAGAAAGTGCTTCTTTGGGTAACAGGAACATAACGTAAATTCCCTCAATAAGGCCCTCCCCCGACCGTTATTTGGGCGACCTGTTCATTGTAACAGTCATTGATCTCTAGAATTGAAGGATTAGTTCTGCTATCACAGTTGGACATCCTTGTTTGTGTCAATAAGATGTGAAAAAAACAACCAAGCTTACATTTTTTTTAAAATGGGTGTAAAAAAAAACTAGCTTACATTTTTTTTAAAAACCCAACATCTTTCTTGTTCAGTTTGGTTTCGTCTCTGTGCTCCATGACAGTAGGCCAATACACCTGTGTGCACGTACAAGATTATAGACTATATATTGGATAAAAAGCCTGTGAATTTCAGTCAACTGGATACATAATCCTAGATCTTTGTGATTCAGTGGATCTAGCTAGATTTATGGGATGTTAAGCGCTCAGAGCCTGTGTACTTTAACCGGGTTAGAGCACTATATAAATGTCTATTATTATTATTATGTACTGAGACTCTTTGGGCTGCATTCCTCTTTCAGCAGGATGGGCCTAGATCATGTTACCGAACCTTTCTCATTCTGTTCAGCTTTTGTCTTGGTGCTTAATGTTTAACAACGGTAATATAATGAATGTAGTATCAGTTATAAACAATGCATTTTCTGGATGTTTGTAAGAAAACACCAGTGAATTTCTGTTTAGTGCAGTGGTTTTCAAAGTGGGTGCTACCGCCCCTAGGGGGGCGGTGGCGAGAGTTTGGGGGGGGGCGCTGTGGCGAGAGTTTGGGGGGGGCGCTGTGGCGAAACTGGGCGATTGGGGGGGCGCTGGTGGGCGCTGTGAAATTTTCATGAAATGCAACATAAAACATGATGAAGGGAAAAAAGCCACATACAAAAACAAAAATAGATAGTTTAGGCATAGTTTACAATACTACTTATAACTAAGAACTTTCTTTCCCAGCCCACAAATCTCATATAAAGAAGATTCATCACGACAAATCTGACAAAGATCTGGCATACTTCAAAACTCTAAAGATCAATTTTCAGAAATGAAAATCAGTTAAACCGATGTTTGCAGCTAACGTCGATCAAGCTGATGTAGGCTTACGAGCAACATATAATTTATCTCAGCTAATTACAAAGGCAGGCAAACACCATGCTATCGGTGAGGACTTCATATTGCCTGCGATAAGAGAGGTGGTCAGCACAGTCCTGCAACGTGCCCCGGAGCCTGTGTTGAAAGTTCTCCCACTAAGTGACAATACCATTCAAAGACGTACTGATGAAATGTCAACAAATGTTGAGGAATCACAGTGCAAAATGCTGAAAGGACGTGAGCTCAGCCTTTAACTGGATATCAGTTCATAGAAGGTGAGGAAATAATGCAAGAATTGTTATTTGCCAAAATGTTGGAAACAGATACCAAAGGCGAGTCCATTTTCAAAGTGGTCCAAGAATTTTTCGAGGAGTAACAGATCCCTCTGACCAATACAGTTGCCTGTGCAACAGATGGAGCACCGTCGATGGCAAGTCGGAAACGTGGATTTATGAACTTCTTGAAGAAATCAGTCCATGGAGTATTTACTGTTTACTGTGTCATTCACTGACAGAATTTGGTGGCAAAAAACCTGAATGAAAGTCTGCATGACAAAGGCCTACTGGCCATTGCCATCAAGTGTGTGAACAAGATCAAAGCCCACGCTTTGAACTTGAGACTATTTCAACAGCTGTGCCCTGAACATGACGAGTACTTTCAATGCTTACTTTTGCACACTGAAGTCTGGTAGCTCTCGAAAGGAAACTGTTGAACACGATTATTGTTCTGCCTGTTTGACTCTGTGCTGGAGTTTTTTTTTTCAAGAAACAGACAGTGATCTCTGCAATATACTGAAAGAACACAAGAACAACATTGCGCTCCTCACAGATCTTTTCTCAAAGTTCAACCAGTTCAACATTCAGCTGCAGGGGGATGACACCAACCTGACCAAGGCTTTCGTCATTCTTGTCGAAATTGGAAATGATCCGCCGAAACATTGGCAGAAGAAAATTTCTCAATTTCCTAGCTTGGCGGAGACACTGAAAGAAGGGCACGTTTCTGACGAGGAACTACAAATTTAAATTTATAGCAACCACCTCAGAGATTTGCATGCTGATATGAAGACAAGGTTTAGCCTCCTGATATTTTTAAACTGGAAATTCCATACTGGATACTGGACCCATTGAACGCTGAAACAGATGATAACTTGCAAGTAGCAATTGAAGAAGAGCTTCTGACGATGAAATGTGACTTTGAAATCAAACCATTGTTCAAAAAGCCATACCAGTCATTCTAGTTGAAAACTGTTGTGCAAGACAAATATCCCTCCAAGTGGGAAAAGATCAAGTAGTTGTTCATTTCTTTCCTCGCCTCCTATCTAGTAGAAAGGGGATTCAGTGCAGTGACAAGGTTGCTGACGAAGCGTAGCGATTTGCGTCAGCTACTGACCAATCTGAAACCTGATGTCGATAAGTTGGTTTCGTCTTAGCAGGTCCATCCTTCCCATTAGGGTAGTGTCAATAACTTATTTGCGCATGCTTACTCCGTAGTTTACCCTTACTTGATATCTCAATGTGTCTTTTCTTTTTTTTTTCTTTTCTTCCTTTTTAAAAAAAGCAAAACATTCACTTGTTTAACAGTTTTTTATGTGCACGTGCTGCCACTGCTGATGAAACTGATGATGATGATGGTGACGATGATGGTGATAAATACAGACTACGATCCATGCATACTTTTTCTTTCGTGTGGTTTCTCACATTTGAACAACTTAATATTTTTATTTTCTACAATGGAGATATTTTATACAAATCTCAGGCCACTTCATTGCAGCACGTTGATGGGAGAAAACGTTTCATAAAGATAACGTCAATCTGTTCTCAAACCAAGGATCACAGGCGTTTTTATTTTATTTTTATTTTTTTTGGCGTTTTGCTTCTGTAAATGTGATAATACATGTTTTATTTTTATTGATGTTAATAACACTGGTCGTTTAGTACCGATGACAACTATATGCATAAAGAAAATGACAGTATTTTGCTCTCAGTGCCCTTGCCTAAGATTGAAGAAAAATGTGTTTTATTTTCTCTCGTCCACGCTTAATTTAAGACTGTAAAGATGGTGATTTGAGACTCAACTAATATTCAGAACTAAATCATTAGAATTTAGGCACGTTACTTTCTACCCTGCTGTTTGAGCTCTCTCTTTATTTGTGATTGTTATTATATTACGCCTGTCGTTATGTCAGATTGATGATTGGGGCGGAGTAGGGGGCGGTGGGACTCGGCTGGGTGAAAAAGGGGGCGGTGGGCGAAAAAAGTTTGAAAACCACTGGTTTAGTGGATAGAGCCTACATAATTTTATTTCAATATCTAGATTCTATGTGATCAGTTGAGTCTTTCGTTAGACTCACTTTGCCTCATCTGACATTCAGTAGGCCTGGAATCTAGATGCTACTTGGCCACAGTGATGCCAAGATAAGGCAGACTACCTCTAGATTGCAGAGTTGAAACACAATTAGGTCAAATAAGTGCCAAAGATAAGGTGTTACAAGAGAATAACACACAAATAAAAATAAAGAGATAAGTTTTAGTTTTTATAGTAAAAGTTTTACGGCGCTCGCAACTGCATAAGGTCATAGGAGCGCTAGAAGATTAGGTGTTACAAGAAAGTAACAAACATAATAAAGAAGAAGGTGAGATAACGACGATAGATGTATGATAGGAAAGAAGAAGCAAACCACACCAGAGCACCCACCAACCACCCATATTTAGGTTGTTAACAAGGCAGGACACTTTTAGTTTTAGTAAGAGTTTTACGACACGCGCAACACAATAAGGTCATATATATACAAGTGCCGAAGATTAGAGGTGTTACAAGAGAGTAATAAAACAAAAAAAGGAGAGATCAAGACGACAGATGTTTGGTAGGAAAGAAGGAGCAAACCACACCAGAGCACCCGCCAACCACCCACCAGGACACTTTGGCTACAACAGAACAGGACAGAGTCTCCACACAGTGAAAGGCCAGAAGTGTGCTGTAGAAGGGACTCAAATATGATTTATCAACGGTTTTGTTTTTGGTAAGCGTTTTACGGCGCTCACAACTGCATAAAGTCATATGAGCGCGCGGGACACATTAAACATTTTTAGTTGGTAGGAAATTTTGAATTTTGCCCGGGTGGCGGCCGAAGCCTACTCTTATCAATTTTAGACCACCAAAGGATCTTTAACATGTCATGTGCAACTTGCACACTGGACCTTCGAAATATTTCGCCCTTGTCCGAGAAGGCTATGTGTAGATCTTTCCTACCACTACCAGAAGACCAGGGGTGTGGCTGAAAGACAGCAGTCAGAATGAGCCGAGGAGTAGCAGTAGAAAGGCTGCAGAAAGAGTCAGGAGCTCAGAGGAGGGGGTGGGGGCAGAAAGAGGAGACGAAAGTAGATGACAGAACATTGCTAGAGAGCAGGAAAGGAGGTGAAAGGAGACAATTTTAGAGAAGAAAATTTTCCCGTGACTACCCCGATTCGAACCCAGGACCTTTGTTGAATGAGAGACGAACACCTTAACCTCTAGGCCACGAGAGCCCCCTATCAGAACTGTAGGTAACCTTATTGTTGAAAGCTGACCTAAAGACGTGCCCAATATAAGGACAGGAATGGAAAAAGCTCGGCAACTTGCACCTTCACTGGTATAGTTGTAGTTGCAGGGTCTCTGCAGCCCCAATCAAACCGTAGTACAACATTTGGAGCAAGTTCAACATTTGGAGCAAGTACAACATTTGGAGCAAATGATAAGAATTTTGTCAAATCAAGGTGAAGTCGTCATATCAAGCTAAAAGTATAAAGCATTACTATTACTGTCTTTTTGAACAGTAACTTACTTGAAAGATCTTTTTCAAAAACAACAAAAGACAATGTATAAAAAAATCAGGACATTTATTTCTATTGTTCAAAGAAAATTAAGTCATTTGTTCACATCAAGGTATATCCAGACAATATATAACAACAGGAGCATATTCCCTGAATATACTGTAAGACCCGCACTGTCGAAACATAACAGCTGAGTTGAAAGAGTTGATGAACACATGTACGTAGCTGCAGAGGAACAAGAAAGAATAAATAGGGTGTGGTTTTTGTGGAAACAGCAGGAATGTACACATCTGCCCTCCATGTCTAGCGGGACACGGATCTGTCATCCACTCCTTTCTGATTTTGCTTGTGCAGCTTCAGCTTCTCTTCAAACTCGTTGACAAAATTGAATTGCTGAAAAGGAGATAAAAATTACACCAATGAATATTTGAGCCACAAAAAGAACAAATGCGGTCTGTTTACCAAGTTGATTCCAGGAAGTGATTTTATTAACATCATGTCACACATGAAAAACAACACAATTCTTCAATTAAACTTTAAGAAATTTTTTATTTAAAAAAAAGATTCAAATCTTTCAAGAACCCTATCCGTACGTCATGTTTTACTATCATATCCATACGGCGTGGGGAACTTTGTGCCACCACTTTCCAAAGAGGAAATTATTCGTTAATCCGACCCATACACTTTGCATAGCAATCTATTAAAATGATTTTTTGAGAAATACTGAAAGTTTGAAAGAGATCTTCGTACTAGAAGTATTCTAAAATGTGAAGAATACAACCCCGGGGGTACAAAATGACCCCAAGGCAAACGGATAGGGTTAAAAATAGTCTAGGAAGCACATAGTGAATAGATTTGTCAGATCCCCAGTGTTTTTCTTTCATATTCTATGTATTATGTACCTAAACCATGTACATGATAGCAAAATACACAACGAAAAGATTTCGGCACCTTGCAGATTACGCTATGTGTGTGCTAGACAGTATCTTTCTCTAGACCAAATGGAAAAGAATTTCCTTTCATCCTTTCCCGACATTTCAAGATTATTCCATTATTCAGTTCCAGCTTAGATTTCATATTGTGAGATCCACAACGCAGTAGCAAAAAATATAAATAACATAACTCAGTCCCACCAATATCTTTCTGTTAATAGCTCCCTCTCCGTACGAGAAGGGGACACATAGCATTATAACTCTGTGCTGTACGAAATAAAACGTTTTCTAACAATTGTGTAGGGAAAAAACCAGGCATGATAGAAATATCACCTGAACTACAAAAGATTAGTCAAACTCAAATAGCAGTCAATGATTCTAAATTTTAGTTGTATTTTCTCTTTCCTCTGCCCCTGAGACAGGACAATATCTAGATCTAAATTCTCATGCATATCTGTTCCTCCCACCTCTGACCAGGCATTGGCTTCTCGTACATTATATTTCTACCTTTGCTTGAATAACAATTATAATCATATAGCTTGCCATCACATAAAAGATCAATAATATATATAGGAAAACATGTATTTTTTAATAAAAATTTTTAGTAGGTTTTACGGCGCTCGCAACTGCATAAGGTCATATGAGCGCCAAAGGGGTGGGTGTCAACAGAGAAGTCTTTAAAGGGAATCAGACTTACTCTGCTCACCTCTCTAGCCTCAACAGCACAAAGTCTGCTTCGACTATCAGGGCACCCCGGAAATAGTAGGTCACAAGAGTGTGACAAACATACAAAAGAAGTAGAGGAAAATGACAATAGTAAGGATTAGGAAAGAAAAAGCAGCAGTTCCCTGTTGTAGATCAGGCACAGTTATGAGCGTGACATGATGAATCAGCCCATTTACAATTCTACTGTGCATGAACGAGAAATGTCCTTCCTTTGGGAATGGCCTGAAGACACTACAGTCAGGGGCACTGCCCCGGGGGCTAATACATGTATTGAAAAAAAGCATCAGATTTATTCAATTATAATTTGCTCTCTGGTGGCCCCATAGTCAAAAAATTTTTTTTGGAAGAAGCCAGAAGATATAGCAACTCGAGGTCATGCTGATAACTTTAGGTGAATAAGATTCCTTCATCGCAAATTATGGGAAAATCCTGAGTGTGAGTGTGAAACTAACGGGCAGTGACTGGTGATTTATGTGCGAATGAAACAATTATCAAATTCTTTCACCTTGTGTTCCAACATAAATTCCTCTCAGTTCTAACAAGTACGTTCCAGAACAAAAATACATGACCATTCAATTATACATGTAACCACCGATTGCATTAAAAAAAAAAAAATTTTGTTAGAAAAATGACATCAGAAGTTGTGTAAAAGTAAAGTACCATAAACAATGCAGTGTCTCTAAAACGACATCTGAGGCACCAGTAAAAAATGTCATTATAGAGAGTTGTCGTTATACAGAGGCAACCAAAAATTACTAAAGATACATAAGGAAAAAATGTGGACCTGGGCACCATGTCGCTATATCGAAGGTCGTTATAGAGAGGCTGCATTGTAGTAAGTTTATAATAATTCAGCATATCATGCTCAACACATTTCATCTGGACTTTTTAAAATCATAGCTCAATGGACCATTAAACAAAATTCAACTATTAAAAATTTGGGAAAAAAAAACAACCTACTTTAACAGACTGAATGGCCGTTTTGCCCCTCAAATCTTTCACTCGTTTGATGGCCTCTTCGTGGCCCACACTGTCATCCATGACCATGATCAAACACGCTGCCACTGGAGAAAGAAAAAAAATATTATGTGAAATTCTAAACATAAAAAAAACAACAATGGTCTTCAACGAAACTGTAATACACAATTAACTAATGCTGGGTGGTACCGGTACTTCACTGGCACAACCAGACTTCAAATACCAGCAGAAATACCAGTTATGGGTGATGTCAGAGGTTCTATATGTCTCACATCCTATCTCTCTTTTCACCACTGTTCCCCCTACACACATATAAACAAAACAGCACAGATGAAGTACACTGTGGCATTTGAGAGGAGAAGCGACAAAGTGAAAGACAGTCAGTAGACTCTAGACGAAGCAGAGTACGTCAATGACAACTGATTTTTGAAAATATTTGCTTTGGCAAGGAAGACAAAATTTAAAACCCTTAAATGTCTTTGGACACTTTTCATTTGATAAATTGGCTAGCTACTGCAAGTAATACAAAATCTGTGCGTGTCATGTGTCTATCACCTGCTCACCCATTATAATTTAGTTTCATGGGCACACATCACTCAAGGTACTTAACATATGAAGTCTGCAGCTTACCAGTGACTGAATCCACAATAAGGAGTTGTCAGAAACATGGGTCTCAACTCAGAATTTAAAAAAAAGGTGGAACTTTCCGCATGATCGCGATAGAAGACCATTTTCGCGAGACACTCATTATTATTATAATGTTTAACCCAAGAATGTTGAAATAAAAACCATCAATTTATCACAGCAAGGTTATTTCATACCACTTTCAGGGTTTGGAAGATAATTTCAAGTAAGAGTCACTTACCAAACATTTACAATCTTGATTATGTACAGAAAGTGGTGGCGATTTCTGGGTTGCGGAGTTTAGCAGAGGAAATGGCAGTAGCAGAAATCCTCTTAATAGCAGAATATTGAGACCCATGCAGAAATTGTGAGACGGGTGGGTCACTCCTCTACTTGAGATTTTTTTTTTTAAATACCGTACCCTCAACAATAATGGTGGCAACAATCTACAAAAAAGCACACAGGGCGTTATTGTCATAGAGTAACTAATCTTGCATACAAGTAAAAATGAATATCATTATGGATCGGTGTCAAGAACAACTTATACAGTGTTCACACAGATGCATAGAAATCTATAAGTAATGACCTACCAGAACAAGATCGGCCGAGTCCACCAAAGCAACTGAAAATGAAAATGATCAAAATAATAGTTATACTAGACTATTAAATATGAATTTGCAGAAAAATATGGAAAGAAAAAGCAGTGAAAATAATATGACTTTTCCATTCATAAAACACATAATATAATGTACAGTGGAATCCCCTTACTTGAACATGATTAATCCATAAACAGCTGTATACCAAAACACGTCTTTTTAATAGAAGTTACAATGCATAGAATAAAGATGGGGAAAACAATGGGGATTTGAAATCCTTTCGTTGTAACAGGAATTTTGTGTTTAATTACTGCATTTTAAACAGTCTACAGTAACTCCACTATAACAACCCAAAATAAAAAAAGTGTGCTTTTCTTTATGTATTCCTTCTACCAATGAGAACAATATCAATGATGAGTCCATTAACTACTAACCAAACTTCTGCTTCCAAACGGATACTGATGTTTAGTAGTAGACAGGTAAAACCAATTGGCACTGAAATTCATTTTTAGATAGTAAGACACGCAGCAAAGGCGAAGGTCTCTGGATGCCATTGGAGTACTCACTGCAGTAGAGTCTTCTTCCCTCCCAGCAGGCACAAACGCAATTTTTCTGTAATGTCGAGCATGGACGCTACCTCAGGAACTCCTCCATCCTCAATAGGGAAGTGGTGCACGGTAAAGCCAGCTTCACCATACTAAAAATACACCAGTTCAAAACACAAATCTAGTTTAGTTTTAGTTTCAGTGAGGGTTTTACGGCACTTACAACACAATTAAGTCAAATACAATGCCGAAGATAAGAGGTACTACTGGAGAGTAACATACAAAGAAAAGGAGGAAATTGTAATGAAGATAGATATTTGATGGGAAAGAAGGAGCAAAAAGACAAATTTGAAACTCAAAATGTGCAGTACAACTCATAGGTCTTGCAAACCCGAAATACTTGTTACTTGTTTGTAACAAAGACAAATCTCCAAAGCCACTACTGATTCACTCTCGCCAAAAACCTGAGTGCAAAGCAAAATTATCAAATTATCTTTACCCATACTCAAATGAAGTTACTGTAAATTTTCAACCATTATTAACCCTTGTCCTGCGGGGGCCGGGTTTATGTCGCCCGATAAGCCTATTTCAGCACCTCGCCTTTGTTCTGGTCCTGAATCAGTAGCCCCTGGCTCAGCGCATGCGCACCGCGCATCATCTTACGTGAAATTCAGGCCCCGAGTCGGATCCCCATTCACGCAGGTAAAGTGTGTGTGCGTCAGTCTGCTTGAGTTTGTGTGCATTTGTGGCCTTCAGAACCGCCTGCGTCGGTTCGTAATCGAGGCATATGTCTCGTTCAAAACACGCCAAGTTGGTAGCTCTAGATGTTCGTCCAATGAAATTATAGAAGAAATTGACCCACTTAGACATGAGGAGCTCGAAAGGATAGTCAGGAAACAAGACTTCCATTTTTCTATACAAAATCTTTCCAATGAGCTTGATTTTGTATGAAATGATACTAGCTGATAAAAAAGAAGCTTGTTTGATAGTTTTGAATACCATTATGAAGGTACAAAGAACAATTTGAGTGCAAAACATTCGGAAATTGACCTATATTATCCCCTTTCGAACCTCAGGTCATTCACAACAAGAGTGTCTAGAAAGGTTATTCGAATGGGCGTAACTACTCGTAATGTCTTATCAGCTTGTGAGAGGGGGTAATTCATGTGTTTGTAACACTTTATAAATAGAAAGCTATGAAAGATAGATCGTTATTTTCATCATCGATTAACACATTCCCACTGTATTCACGACGAAAACATGTTTCCCAGCGCGCGCGCTGTACACCAACAGTACACACTGAGTGACCCCGGCGGCCTGCCCGGCACGTCCGACGTAATCGGTTGCTGATAAGATTCGCATCTCGGCACAGACGCAGGACAAGGGTTAAGTGAGGGGTACAATTCGAGGGTAGAGCCAAAAGACAAGTGCGATGGTCAGAGAAACAGCACTGACAAGTTTGCAGTTTGATGACACAGATGTGATCCCACCTGATGTGTATGATTTTGTCACGAGTAGGGTCTGCGAGTGTAATATTAGGGAAAAGTAAATGCTCCTATGAGTAGGCACACTTCAGCATGATCCTGTCTGAGGCAAACATTGTACTCACCCATCAAGATTAACAACAGAGATTTGATCGTATTCACCAAAGTGGATGATCTGTGATGCAATAGGTAGTCGACAAATGTCAAATTTTCGCTGCTTGGTCGATCAGCTGCACGCATGTGGGTTTTTGTTCCGTTAATTATCATCTCAAATACAGAATTTTAGCAGAATTTAGTTTATTCAGAGTGGGATCTTAGGGTTGGCTCTGTGTTGTTTACTTTTTATAAAAATTTTATGTAAGTGTTTTTACTCCCCCATCGACACAATTTAGATAATTTAGATGGCTGGCTTCCATCCTGCCTGGCAAGGCCAACTTGGGCTGAGAGGGATATGTCCCACAGAAAGTTCAAGATACCCAAATAAGAACTCTCCTCACAAATGAACTGAACTGGATTTTCCGTGTGTGACTGAAGCGCTTAACTGCTACACCACTGACGAACCTTAAACAAACCAGGATCATAAACAGTGAGATCTGAGGAGAAGACTGCCACAATTACCAATTGTACTAACACACATGGCTTGATTTATTTTAGATGGCAAGTCAACATGACAATAACGGCTATATTTTGCCAAAGACAGAGGGACTATGGGAACACCATTGAATAGATGCAGAAGCAGCAAACCACACCAGAACACAAGACTAAACCATCAACAGCACCAGCAGAGAACAAGCCATTATTCTATAATCTTACAATTCTGTACAGAAATAATGTATTGTACTGCATTGACAATATAGTTGTTGCTGACCAACCTTGTCCAGCAGTTTAGTTGCCCTGCACATATACAGCTCCCGCTTGGTGCACAAACAGAAGACATCCTCAATTCCTTCCTTCTTCAAGCATTCTGCAAATAAAACACAGGAAATGTTTAGATTTAATTTAGTTTTTAGTAAGAGCTACGCAGCACTTGCAACACAAATAGGTAATTTTAAGTTCCGAAGATTAGAGGCATTACTAGAGAGTAAAATATAAAGGAAAGGAGAAGAGATGAGAACGATAGGTGTTTGATAAGAAACAAGGAGCAAACCACCTTCTCAAGAAGTGTTTTGAATGGCTTCACCAGTAAAGAAATGATCTTTGGGAAATTTCAACGTAGAAAGAATTCAACATGAATGTCCTCATCATGCACAATTTTTACGGCTTTGTCTGACACTGTTTTATTTTCAAATTCAAAGGATACTTATTTTCAGTCTCAGTATTCCCAAAGGCGTTTGATGTACACCAAAAAATTTTTTTTTTTTTATTGTTTACCCAATTCTTTAAGAAAATTCAGCAACTTGAGCTTCATTAACTGATTCCGTCCATGATTTTTTCAAGCTCTGGACAGAATTAGTTTTCCTTGTTCAGTTTTAGACCTGGGGTGCATCTATTTAATGCATTTTACTGTGAAGTTCTAAGTTACTCTAAAGGTATTGTCATCAAAGTGATGGGAATTAATAGAGGAATCTGTATATATCAATACACAGTGATTATTCTCAGCGACTATTGTCGATTAGGGGAAAAACCTTATCTTTTGAAGAAATAACGTCACCTTTTGTTGCTACAATATTAATTTATTGGTTCTGTAATGGAAAATTTTACTCTTGAATGGTTTAACCAATCAAAATTAAGAAAAAAATAAGCCTAAGGTCAAGGCACTGTGTTCCTTAAAAATAATCGTGGGTTCTGATAGGGATAAAAATTAAACATGTTTTTTGTGTTGTAAACAAATGACAATTCTAACATTACAAATGTCAAACTATTACTATTATTTCATTAAACAGCTTTCAGTTTTAAGGCTATTATTTCTAAAAACATACTACTCTGGCAAGTGAATTCCTTTCTGAATTTAGAATATATCTATATTTACACTTGTCTAGGGTTTTGGTGAAGACATAATAATAATAATAAAATAAATTACACTTTTATTTGTCCCAGAAGGGCACTTTGTTTACAATGGCAAACATACATACATAAATACATGATTATAGATACCTACATACATAAATACATACATGCATAAATACATACATAAATACACACTATTACACAAATACAGAACAGTTTACAAACAATGCCACTGTCGGTCGCCACTGTGCAGCGCCCTGAAATTTTGAGCTAGGGTTGTCATGTCTTGCTCAAGGACACACTCCAGTGACCACCCATCTGATCCCCGTGTCACCGACACTTGCTTGACATGCGTGCATACTCTCAACTCAAGATTTTAAAAAAAAATGAAACAATAACAATCCCTGCGAGAGCCTAGAATAATCGGCCAGCGCTCTGGGGCAAGTCACAAACGGTCACTCTCTTATAATTCAAAAATTATTTTCTATCATCCGTTCTCAACACCCAGGTAGACCTAAAAAACCATTGCATTCTCAGACTGGGAGATAAAAAAATGGATATTATTCTCAACCCGGGTGAGAATAACAATGGCCTATAATCTGTATTGTATTTTCCGTCAGACAAAAACGAATAAAGAAAGAAAAATTGCGCAACACATCTTCGAAAATTTCGACTTACCGCATTTTCTCAGCTCTACAAGTCCTTATATAATCCATAGGAATCAATGCAAAATTGATATCACCCTAGCACACATTTATGCAAGAATTTCACAAATTTAGTGGAACATCTTTCTTTGAAGGGCCTTTTACTTAGATATCTAGATCTATACCAGGCTCCGTGTTATTTACCCTTAGATCTAGCCTACATAGCGACCACAAAAAGATTTTTGCAAAAATTTCACTGAGTTTCGATCGATATTGAGGTCAGGTTTGTTTACAAGTTGTACTTCCTTTTGACAACTTAAAAAGTAGAAAATATGTTAAAAAGTGCACATTTGTTTCGGATTTCGTTGAGCCGCTCACAGCGGTCGAAAGGATGCAGCGGAAAAACGCAGAGCCGCTGTCAGCGGCCGAATGGATGGAATTAGTTAAGAGTAGCTTACATCTGGCAAAAAGAATATAAAAAAAGATAAAATACAACAAATAAAATGCAATGTAAGATATACTGGCCACTGGCACAAATTACATAAATGGGGAAAAAAAAGATCTACAGTCGAACCTGCCATGACGGCCACCAGTACAGTCACTTTCATTTTCCCCCCTTGCGTTTTTTCTATATAATTTAACTGTGTAAAACAGTCACCAGTCCAATGCAGTAGCAGCCACCTTATTTTATCAACCCACAGTCAAATTTACTTGCCTCAGGCGTACAGGCGTGGTCACTCATTGCCTGACGCTTTGCCAAAAAATTAGAATCGGCCCCTCACGCTGTGGACGGGCCGTCATAATTCATTCACCTGTAATTATTGTTAGTCCCTCCAATGAATGTTTACCCAAGTTGACCAATGGGTAGGCCAAACAATAAATTTTCAACAGCTGGTGAGGGTAGCGTAATCCGTCATAACCTATAAGCCCCGCCCACAACTCATGTACAAATTGTATGTGAGGTGACTGGTCACTGTTTTGCTTACCTAATCCGTAACAGAGTAACAATTGACGTTGACGTGAACTTGCGACAGAAGCGTCGCTCATTCTCCGAGTGGTAGCGACACGTGTGTTTGTTTTACCATGGCACTCAGTCTTCATCGTCTTACATAATATTTCGTTTATTTTACCCTTGCACAAAATCAGCAACAAACAGAAAGCTAACCCAAAAAACCCAACAAAAACAAACAACAAAACAGCAACACAAAAAACCCTCCTTACACCACCCAAACCCAGAAGAGAATGATTTGCTTTCTTCATTTTGACCAGTCCTGCCTAAGACAGCCACCTGTGTTATACGGCCACTTTTCTCTTTGACAATGGGAGGCCGTTTCACACAAGTTTTACTGTATATAAGAATGCTGAAGAATAAAAAAATTCAAGCAAATAACTCTGGAAAGCAAACAATGAGACCTTAAAACAAAACAGTGATCAAAGCTGTTTCAAAATTTCCTCTTTGCTCTCATGTTTGCAAAATAACACTTTGACAGTACAGTACCCCTAATATATAAAATTAGTTGTAATTGTCCATATTGATTCAACATTATTGTTTATTTCTGTGACTATGCAACCTTTGAATTAATCTTTATTAATCACAGTACTTGAAGTTTTTGGTAACCTTAATTTCCAGACAAAGATCACTAAAAGTTGTAGGCCTACGAGGAGAAAAAAAAACTTGAGGAACGAAGTCAAATGTTTCTTGGATTACTATATATTTCAAACGCAAGATGCACCGAGGTACCAATTTCATGAGTAACTGGGACCACTACAAACAGAAAATACCACCAAAACTTTCGGGACAACTTTTACTTACCCACATCAAAGACCAAACTTCTCCATGTATCTTGATAGCGGCATCCTGTCATGAGGATAGAAAAGAGGCAAAAGTTGTGAGCGAAACCTTGATGTGAACATGTTCGAGAGGTTAACGATACACCATGGAAAGTCACACAAACTGGTATGGTAACCTCAGCCAAAGATCCTGAAGCCCAAGAATTGGGGGCAAAAAGCAGGATCTTATACTGATCGAGTCGAATAATCTCCACCTATCTAAAAGTAAAATATGACAAGAGAAGAGATCTCAGAATCCCCTTCTCCCCCAAAACAACTGTTCCGATCAATATGAAATCAAATCTACGTACATACTATACTTGTTACCTCTTAGTATAAGACAATCACCTAAACAAACGGACACTTTTCATTCCCCCCTTCTTTATAATAATACTGATACTGTGTAACACATCCACTCATCTGAGACAATGACATTTCTTCTTGACAATGGGTGGCCGTTGCAGACAATTTCAAATGTACATATATGTAAAGCATATAATAGATGATGACATTTCTTTCAATAAATAGTATCCTCTTTCTTCTTATACTCAGGCAAATGAAGTAAAAGAACTCTGTCATCCAGCGCAGCTGATTGAAAGCACAGTACAAAGTTTGTTTTGTGTATCTTTTTCAGGAAACCCCCAAGACCAGTGCTCAGACTGGAATATGATGCTAGCTTTTTCTCTGTCTACTCCGTAGCTCACAATGAGTTCTTGTGGAGAAGTTTGAGACTTCTTGGCCATTTGACACTAAATCTCAAATAAGGGTTAGCCAACATTTCAAGATATTTTTGTGAGATGCTGCATTATGATTGAATCTATTGTGAAAAGATTTTTCTTTAAGAAGCACCGAAAAAGTTCTGAAAGAGAAACAGTAATTTTTGGTCAAAGCCCTAAGGTGGATGAGCATTCGTAAAAAAAAAATTATGGCAAATTAATTAGACTCAGATATTGAGAAAGAAAAAAGTTTTAAAACTGACAACATCCAGTGTTTTCCCCAGAGCGCGCCCTTGCGCCTTTTAGCACACCAAAAATCGCAAAGGCGCCCTGAGAATAAGAGAAGGGGCCAGTGGGGTGCGCTGTGATGAGAACTTTAAACCGGCTGATTATCTTATAGTAGATCTGTTGCAAATAAAAGGCAATGTCATTTTTATCAACCGTGATCGAATTATGCGGAAGGTAGGCCATAGATCCTAGACTTACTGTTGTGTTGAACTAACATTCCAGACTTCGGCCCTGCCTTATTACAACATTAGGCTAGGCCATAGGCTTAGGCGGGGCGGGCCGAGAGTGGGGTTCATAGTTAATGCGGTTTCTTTGAAAAGTAGGATCGACAGAGGACCGGCCCTGGGCACAATGTGAAACCAAAAAGACTAGTCAAGTACCTGGTACTATCGCTTTTTAACCTATAGGTATTGGATGTTGCTGCTGCTTTTCCAATGTGCTTTCATTTGCCGCATTCTTCTATTTTCGTGTCTGTTCTACTTAAATGAAAGAACTTGTAACAAATTTGCAAGAAATAAAACTTGCTTTGCTTCACTTCGGCTACATAGATTTGGACTCGATTCCAGAGTCAGAACTCGCAAATGCCCAAGAGTTCGACCAGAGATGGTTCGACATGGTGTTCGCGGCAGGGCTGCCAGATGGCCACGGGCGTGGCCAAAATGCTCGAAAATTGGCCACACGGAAAATTGCTTGGCCACGACAAAATTGCTTGGCCACAGATCTAAATATACTTTCTCCGAGTCAAGTCGATTTTTTTGTCATCAAAACTGATGAGTTTTTCAGAATGTTAGTTGAGTTTGGTCACGTCAGGTTCTATTTGGCCACTTGTAAAGTCGAAACTGGCCATCTGGAAGCCCTGGTTCGCGAATTGGCGGTTACCAGAACTGAAACACATGGGGCATGCATGTGTTGTCTACGCAATACTACGCATAGAAAAAGAAAATTCCAGGAATCAAGTTGAATCACAAAATAATTGTATTGTGTACATTCTGTATCAAAGCCTAGATCTAGATCTGGATTTCTAGGAACGAGAATCTTAAGTTGCAGATTCTGGACCTTACAAAGTGAAAAGAACAAGTGACTATTTCAAGCCAACGACATCAGGATCCAAAAAGTCTAAGGACAGTAGTGAAAATGTTTCCAGTTCTGATTCAAGTGGATCGTTTTCTGTGCCTGCAACAGGCTGTGGTGATAGTGATAGGCCTGGGCCTTGCACGCACTCTGATAATATAGATCTAAAAAAGAATGGTGAGAACTTAGTTTACTGGACCACTCTTTGACCTTTGTTGTGTTTTCTCTTGGCTCACCCCTCTACACTTCGTGCCAAAACTCCAATAGTAATGACGGCCTCTTTATCTTAAAATGACAAAGTGTTTCTTGCCTGTTTCATACATTAATTACTATTTCCAAATAGGACAGTTTCTCAAATCTACACTTTATTTCATCAAAATGGAGCCAGAAATAAATATTTTACAAGCCTACATCCTGGTGGAAGGAGTTTTAGCACAAGGTGTAGATCTAGATCTAGATCTATCGTTAATTATCCTTAGTTGGTAAATTAAAACAAAACAGTTTATGGGGTCCAGTAAGCTAAGATCTTATGTCCTTAACAGATTGTGACGGAACAGTGTCTGCAGAACCAGTAGATCTAGATGTCATTGAGGTTAGTAATGAAGCAACAACCTCGCCAGGAACAAAAACTGTGAAAAAAATCAATAAGCCTTTCCTACCCAAACGGCTAAATGAACCAAAATACAAACAGTGGCTCAAATGAGAGTCAGTAATCCACTCTTTTCTCAGTAGAAATAAAGCAAGATCCATAACATGCATATCTTTTAATTTAACCTTTGTCGCTTTACATTATAGGGAAGGGCCCCACAAAAACTCAAAACGCCCCCTTGAAATGGCTTTGGGGGGCCCGGGCCCCCTCTATCAATAACCGGGGGAAAACACTGCAACATCATTTAATACATGACATGAAGATCCAAAGAAACAAGAAAAGGCACATTGCAATACCTGGGAGAGGAGAAATTCCAAGCTTTTGATCACAGCCAACAACCTGTAAATCAAGCCTGTTGAGCAAATACAATAAAGAAATCAGAAAATGCACAAAAATCTACGAGTTTGTGTAAATTTCTTCGGCTTGCATTGGCACGACTTGATTGACTTTCTTTAAAAGGACAACTCAACATCATGTGTGGCAATAAAAAAAGGAAAAGAGACAAACCTCAAACCTGTACACTAAGGTTTTTTAAGAACATAAGAATATCTTTTACTTTTACTTATGTTCCCCACAGTGTTTCGTATTAGAATTTAGGTTTACTTATATTTATATTTTTCGAATCTTCTTTCACATCATACAAAAATATTATGGCAATGAGCAATTCAAAAAACTTACTTTAATTTAAACAACAGACCTGCAAGAAATTATCCACAATCTTAATTTTTCAAATCATTATATTATAATTGAAAACAAGGGCTCTGCAACACAAAATATTCTGAAAAAAATAAACAGAAATTCATTTACAAGCTGTACTGAGAACAAAATCAAAATACCAGTCAACTTGAAAAGGAGTAAGATCTAACTGTTCAGCATCCTCTTTGTCGGAGAGATCAGACTGATCCAGTATATCTGCAGACACACCATCCGGTAAAGACTGATTTGCATCCTGAAAACATACAGAAAGCCAAAATAATTTTTGGACTGGAATCATTAAAATATAGTCACAAAAATGTGTTGATAACAGTTTTAGTTTAGTATGGGGTTTTACGGCGCTCGCAATTGCATAAGTAGAAGGTCATATGAGTGCACAAAACACAAGTTGGTTGCATTCGCAACAGTTCACTGCACGGTTGGTCAACTATTAGACTTTAAAATGTTAAAATATTAAAATTCGGTGTAAATATATTTTCAATTTAAAACAACTCTTATAAATAACAATAAAATTTTTTAACAATATTGTTTCATTTTATAATTTCCCATAAAGGCCAATGGCCTTCATAAAATCCAAGATTCTGTTGGGACCAATGACAGAAAAAATGTCTTGCAATTTCTTGCATTTGAAGTATTTTCTTCGGATCTCTCCAAAGTCTAGACATTCGGTTAAAATGTGTCTAAATGGTAAAATCTGTGTTGCATCCGACACAGAACGGCTTTTCATTTCCCTGTAGGAGGTTAAGAGGTATTTGTGCGTCAGGGCCGTGTGTCCGATGCGCAATCGAGTAAAAATGACTTCGTGTCTTCTGGAGAGGTCTGAAGGATTTTGTGGTCCCAGTTTGGGTTTTTATATTATAGAGTTTGTTATTCTTCTGTTTTTTCCAGTGGCTCTCCCACAGACTGGAGGTGTACTTTTTTACTTTATTTTTAAAGTCAGTCTGAGGGAGAGTGTTCGTCGTTGATCCTAACAGAAGGGATGAGGATTTCTTCGACAGGTCATCTACCTGCTCGTTTCCTCTGATGCCCACACGGCTAGGTATCCATGCAAACATGATATTTTTTCCTGTTTCAGATAGGGAGTGAATTTTCTGTAGTAGCCTAACTATTTTTGGGTGTAGGAGTGTGACAGTTTGTGAGTGAGGTGATGCAAGACAGAGTCAGAAAGGATAAGGAAAGATTTGGTAGGAGAATTTTCTACTGAGTCCAGTGCCATGTCAATGGCAGGCAGCGGCCTCCGCAGAGAAAATGGAGGCTTCAGGATGGAGTCTCCTCTGGTGTGTACTGTTGGAGGATAGGGCTGCGGCGCCCACATATTGTCTTTTTTGGAGCCATCCGTGAAGATGAGCTCCCCACCGGGGTATTTATCTATTAGTTTTTTGTATTCCATTAAAAAAGTTTTGGTGTTCGTGCTTTCTTTGTTGTGTGTGGTCAGCTGTAAGTCTACTTTTGCCTTGGTTAGGTGCCACAGAGGGAGGTCTGGGAAAAGGAATTGTTGGAAGTCTTGATTGGAAAATTGTAAGTTTTTGAGGTCCTCAAGGATTCTGAGGCCGAAGGGTTTGATGAGTTTTTCGTTGTTTTGGAATTTGTTTATGGTTTCTGGGTTTGTTTTAGAAATGCTGTTGTGTGCTGGATTTTCTGGTGTTGAGCTCTGTTTAATTGCGCATTGTAGTGAGAGTTGTGTGCGTCTGAGTGAGAGTGATGATATGTTTGCCTCGGCCTGGAGGCTCTCCACCGGGGAAGTGCGGAAAGCCCCCAGAGCGAGGCGGAGTCCTTGGTTTTGTACTGGGTCTAGCATTTTCAGGATGTGTGGTTTTGCAGATCCGTAGACTTGATAGCTGTAGTCAAGCCTGGGCCGGACAAAGGAGATGTACAAGTGGAGAAGGTGTTTTGAGTCCCCGCCCCACTCCGGATGCGAAAGAATTTTCAAAGCGTTTAATGCTTTCTGGCACCTCACACGAAGGTCTTTGATGTGTGGTATGAAAGTGAGTTTTTTGTCGAATACAACGCCGAGGAAACGAGCCTGGTCCTGGACAGGAATCCTTTCCCCGTATAGTGTCAAATCCGGTTGCAGCACACGGCTGCCTTTTCGGCAGAAGTGTACTGCAACCTTCTTTGACGGGGAGAACTTGAAACCGTTATTGTTTGCCCACTTTTCGAGTGTTTGCAGCTGCCTTTCCATAGATCTCAGATGAGGATTTTTCGAACGGCAGCATATATCAGAAAGTCGTCAAAGTATACGAGTGCTGCTTTGGAGGGTTTTTACGATGGAATCTATTTTGATTTCAAATAGGAGAGGAGAAAGGATGCTCCCCTGGGGAACGCCTTCCTCCTGTTGGTGGGGGTCTGAAAGGGAGGATCCGACATGAACCTGGAAGGAACGGTTCTTTAGGAAGTTGCCAATGAAGGCAGGGAGGTGACTGCGTATGCCGAGTGCATGCAGATCTTTGAGAATGCCGTACTTCCAGGTTGCATCGAAGGCTTTTTCTAGGTCGAAAAAGATGGCGATCATGTGGCCTCCTTCAGCGAATGTCTCGCGTATAAAGGTCTCCAGGCGGACAAGGTGATCTAGAACTAGAGTGGATCGAGTTTTCCTGAAACCGCACTAGAGGCCGCTGAGCGAGCCCGTCATCTCCAGAAACACATGAGTCGCCTGTGAATCATTTTTTCAATAAGTTTACACAGACAGATCGTTAGTGCTATTGGTCTGTAATTGGATGGGTGTGTGTGATCTTTTTTTGGTTTGGATATTGGAATGACAGTGGCGAGACGTCAAGACTACAGAAAGTGAGAAAGGAGTGCGACCGCCACATGTCGTTACGTCTAGATCTAGTAAAGTAGGAGTGTACTACAAGTGTTTCTGAGGGTAAGTGTCTAATGATCTGGTTGTGGATGTCATCCGGTCCCGGGGCTGTATTGCCCAGGTCCGAGATGCACGATGTTAGTTCGTCTATTGCGACGTCTGCATTGTAGGTTTCAGTGTTGTTTTGAGTCTGAGTGGAAGTTTAGGTGTTGTTGTTCTGTTAGTTTTGATGTTTTGAAAAGTGGTGTTGTAGTTTGCTTGGGATGAATTTTTGGCAAGAGATGTAGCTATTGTGTTTGCGATGTCTACACAAGTGTTTCAGCTATACATAATTCCATTCAGCCTCGTCTTAAGTACGGCACGGCTAGCCACTTCGAATCTGAAGTTCTTTCTTCATAATTTAGGTTTAGCTACATCGATCTCTAAATCTATAGATAGGTCTATCTATCTGGACTCTAAATTTATCACTGTCATTATCAAAATCAATCTTCCTACCCATGCCCAAGAGATTTCTACAGATCAACTCTGATGAATGATGCATAACACTGTCACTGACTATGGCCTGGGCCTGGGGAGTCACCTACCATCATGTCTTCAGTATCCTCAAGTTTATTTGGCTTCATCGTACACGATTCGACCTCAGACATCGCGATAAAAGGTAAGACTGAGGAAGAACCCGTTTCCCAAGTCCAGGTCTGCAAGTTTACTGTTCTCAGGAATTGGAAAAGAACGGCGCCGTCGGTAGAAGCAAGCAACTGCGGGGGTGAAGTCCTCGCCGGTCCTCGGTGATTTTACTGAGAGTAAAAAGAATTTCAAGAAAGTAACACAAGACAAGAGTCTAAACCAACTCAACGCAATGAATATAAATAGCGGGGTCTGTTAGATCTGACACTGTAACTCACGCTCACTGATTCGCGCCGTGCGTGCACGCTTTTGTTGACTATTCCTCTAAGGCTAAGGCCAAAGGTCTACTTTTCTTTCTCTCTCCGTTTGCTAGCAGGCTGCGCTCAACTGCGCTGGCTCAAATTTCAAAATTTAAAAATACCACACAATTTTGTTTCGTTCCCAGTTCTTTATTTTTAGTAAAATCTCATGATTTACTAAAACAAGAACCGTGTTTTTTTTCTGGAAGGAAACGGAAGTAATTTATAGTAAACACTGGTGGGTAGGCGAACCAAAAATACTACGGTACACAATAGTAGAGAGAAAAGATATAGTCCGTTCGATTTGGATGTTATTTACCCAGCTAAGGGCTAATGGAGTGTGATGATTTCTACACTTTTAGATTCTTGATCATCCCGTAGTTTCCTGATCTAATAATGGTTACCTGCTAGACTCTACTAACTAAATTAATTATCGAGCAAACTGCTGCTTTAACGAGTGTTGTCTGTTGACTTCATTTCATAAAAACCCAGTTGACTAGGCTAGTTTTTCAAATCAAACTAAAACATGGCCCCTATTCCAGAAGATCACCAGGACAAGCCCCCAAATGATAAAGACGACGGTGACTTAAATGACTTTTCGAATCCCAATCTGATGATGCCCATTGATGTGGCAGAGTCCAGTGAAGACAGTGAAATTGAAAGTGATACAGGACACAATGGTTACGCTTTGTTGCCTCAAGAGCCTGGCGAGTGTGAGGATGACTCGGATAGTGATACTTATGAGGAGGAGATGGTAAATCATTCTGAAACTCAGGTTAATGGAGACACAATAACAGCTTCAGGTCAGTCAGTTAACAACAGCAGGCATCACTCTGTACCTGAAGCTGTCCTGTCATCTGAGGCAGGAGCTGCTGGGCCTACAGTGGCAGCTTCCGAAACAGCATATCATCCTGATTTTCTAGCCAAATTTCCAGATGGCAAAATTCCTTCGTACATGCAAGTAAGTCCTGTGAGTTGAAAAGGGTTTTTTATTTGTGTGGTGTACCGAACGCTCGATACTGATTCGTTATCCGTGAGTGCTGAGGTTCGGGGTCCGCTGGCAGTTCACTTCAGTATAGCGGGGGGGGGGGGGGAGGGGGGGGGGGGGGGACACAGTACAGTGGCATTCGGACTCAACGAAGTCGTTGGGCCTGACCTTCAATTTAGTTGAATCCGAATGTTAGGTAGAGCAAAGATAAGGTTTTTGTGTAAATAATTACAGGCACCGAGCAAGTATAGATCTAGATCATGTTATTATTCGACTTCCTCAACCAAAACAAGTAGGGTAGAGGGTGCATATTTCGACACCCCTTCTGGCAGGTCTGAGACTGCTGCTGTGTTCATTGGTCTGTGTAGTCGGATAAAATCAATTGAGCGGCGAGGTTCTGTCACCAGATGGTGGAGAAACCTCTTAGAAACTGTTTGTTGTATAAAACAAGTGAATGTGCCTGTCAAGTTGATTGTAACCCTCTCTTAAAGTGTGTGGGGTGCGTAATTCAAAATTTCGACACCCCTTGTTCTAATTCCGACACCCCTGTGAGGGGAACTTCGACACCGGTTGTTCCAATTACGACACCACTGTGGGGAAATGCGACACCCAAGGCCCGGACTGGCCCAGTGCTGTAGTTAGGCCTAGGCCTAGGCTAGGCTTGGGTCCAGGAGGTCGTGGGTTCGATCCTCGGCATTTCAGTATTAGCATTTCTTTTCTGCTTGACACACGGCATTAATTTCATTAAAGGAAAAGTAGTTGGTCTGTCGTTTGGCTAGTATACACTGACTGAGTGAGGCAAACATATTGCCCTGTCCTTTCACCTGATTGTGGTTTCGCTGCATCATCAAATATCCACAATATTATTATCACTACAATTATCATAATTATTAACATAACCATCAGCGACAGCAGCATCACTGACCTCAACATCAGTAACAGCTGCAACAACTGAATTAGTATTAGTTCATTACCATGATCATCACCAGCACCAGCATTGCCCTACCATCTTCATCATCACCATCACCATCATGTCATCATCTTTATCACCACCGCTACCACCAGCATCATCGTTACTAGGCCTATCACCCGCATCATCATCTCCACCACCATAACTGTAGAGCCCAAGGTAGTGCTAGTTTAGTAAAATCATTGAACAAGAAACAAGGCGTAAATCATCAAAATTTATTACTCTGGAATTCAGTGCAACACATGCTGCCCTCGCTGAATTCCTATCATTAGGCTACCAGGTGCAAAAGAACCCTATAAAAGTATTAAAAAGGAACAAAATAAAAATCAACAACAAAATGAAACAAAACAAACAAATTTGACTTCTCAAGTTCAGTAGACTCATCTGAGTCATCTGCTGCTGCTGCTCCTATGCTGCTGCTGATGTTGCATTTATTCCTGCTGGTGCTGTTGCATCTGTTGTTGTTGCATCTGTTGTTGTTGCTGTTGCATCTGTTGTTGTTGCATCTGTTGTTGTTGCATCTGTTGTTGTTGCATCTGTTGTTGTTGCATCTGTTGTTGTTGCATCTGTTGTTGTTGTATCTGTTGTTGTTGCTGCTGCTGTGGTTCTTGTTGTTGCTGCTGCTGTGGTTCTTGTTGTTGCTGCTGCTGTGGTTCTTGTTGTTGCTGCACTGCTGTGGTTCTTGTTGTTGCTGCTGCATTTGTTTCCACTGCTGCTGTTGTTACTGTTGCTGCTCTTGTTGGTCTTGTTGCTGCTGCTGTTGCTGCAGCTGCTGCATCTGCTGTTGCTGTTGCTGCATCTGCTGCACACACACACACACACACACACACACACACACACACACACACACACACACATACACACACTCATACACACACAAACACACACACACACACACACATACACATACACACACTCATACACACACAAACACACACACACACACACACACACATACACACTCACGAACACATAACACGCACACATGTACACACATATGTACGCCAAACACAGACACACGCACACACACACACACAAACACGCACATACGCGCACACACACATCTACTTGCTTATCACACGCACACGCTTACACATCGTCACGAAATGAGCAAAAAATAATATTCACACTGCAATTCACAAAATACATAAATGGATACATAGTCATATACATAACATTGTATTGAAAATGAATCTACTGACATAGTGTCGAAATAACCCACAGGGGGTGTCGACATTACCACCAGGGGTGTCGAAATAGCAGCATGGGGTGTCGAATTATTGACAGAAGGGGTGTCGTAATTCTGAGAGTGGCATTTTTTGATGTGGGGAAATTCGACACTTTTTGAGCACATATTTAACCAGTTTAAAGCAATAAAATCTATCAAATTTTGTTGAAAACAGCAATTTTAATCATCTAATATTCATTTAGTACATTCATTTATCACATACAGCCTTTTACACAAGAAATAGGACTTGTTTACTCAACTTGTGATATTGCTGCTTTAGAAACACGGAGCTTGAAAACGTTCGAAATTGGACGCGCAAAAGAGCGGTGTCACTTCTTGGGGGTTTATGGGAAAACTATTACACCTATATTTAGAAATGACGCACATAATTAAAAAAAGATAGTTCGGCTGCCGGTTAAAAATAGACCCGCGCGCATAAGTTGTAGTATTTCCGCACCGTTCGTTGTTTTTGGAGTGCACCCCACGAGGGGTGTCGGAATAGCACACAGTGTCGGAATATGCACCCTCTACCCTACTAGATTGTAGATCTAGTTTTGTTTCATGAGAGGCATTTTTATTTCTTTGATGTTCTCTGAAGAAATGCTGGAAAATTCTAGGAAAATACATTGAACTCTTCCAAGCACACGCTGTGCAAAAGGTCTGATTAGTTCAAATGCAGGCATATATAATGTTGTCTATCATCTAGTGACGTATTGTTTGTCGAACAAGTTGTGTTGCTGTACCTTGCCTTCATTCATTGTAATCTTGATCAGTAGCTGGGTGGAAAGATGAACTGTGATGCGGTTGTATCTTTACTGATTACTGACCTTCCATCAGGGTTGGGTTGATTTAAATCAGTTGATTTTTTAAATTTAAATCAACTTGATTTTAAAAATAAAAATCAGTGATTTAAATCACTTTTAAAAATTTTTATTTTTATTGTTTTTACACATTTCAACATTCAGAATTCCTTTCCTTGGTTTCATAAAACAGATATAAGGTTTAGTAGACTAATATAATCATGCTTAAAAGTCTGCTTTTCCCCCTTTCACTGTAAAATAATACAGTTCTCAATTTACTTTTTTTCATAATTGAAAACCAGGGTTGGTTTGATTTAAATCAGTTGATTTTTTAAAATTTAAATCAACTTGATTTTAAAAATAGAACTCAGTGATTTAAATCACTTTTAAAAAATGTATTCTGTTTTTACATCTTTAAACATTCAGAATTCCTTTCCTTGGTTTTATAAAACAGATATAAGGTTTAGTTGACTAAAATAATCATGCTTAAAAGTCTGCTTTCCCCCCTGTCACTGTAAGTAGTAAAAGAATACTGTATTCAATTTACTTTTTTTTCATAATTGAAATTAGCATTTTCTTTTTCTTTTTAAACAAACACATTTGAACTTTCCATTTTAGTCTCTTAGTTTTTTTTTATAATAGTCTAATTTCTTATAGAAGTGCTGACTCTGATCTGATTTATGCTCATTGTTAATTTTTTTTAAAATAATGATTTTCATCCCTCAGGTTCCAAATGTTCCAAAGGACAGCAAAGATTTACTATGGAACCAGAGTCGACTGGCCTCAAGTAAAGTCAGTTTTGATGCTGGTAATTCATAGTTGACCCTGATTTTTTAAATAGTTTTAGTATAGAGTTTTTACGGTGCTCACAACTGCATAAGGTCATATGAGCGCCAAGGGGTGGATGTCAACAGAGAAGTCCATACAGGGAATCAGGCTTCTTTGCTCACCTCTTTAGTTTCAACAGCACTAAGTATGCTTCGACTATCAAGGCACTCCGGAAATAGCGGATCACTAGAGTGTGACAAACATACAAAAGAAGTAAATGAAAAATGCCGATAGTAACATTTAGGAAAGAAAAAGCAGCAGTTCCCCGTTGCAGTTCAGGCACAGTTATGAGCATGACATTGATGAATCAGCCCATTTACAATTCTTATATGCATAAGAACATGTTAATGTCCCCTCTTTGGGAATGGTCTTAAAAAAGACACTTCAGTCAATAGCTGACCCTGATTTAGAAGAACAGCAGACTTATAGTAAAACAAAGTCATTTAGCACAAAATTCCTATTACAGTGAAAACCTGATATAACAGGGATGGTGGGAGTAGAGAAAAGGTCCTGTTATATCCGATCCTTGTTACATCAGAAATGCAAGGAAAGTAAGCATTTATGGACTAATCCAGCTGTACTTATTCATGGTTAGTTTCCCTTGCCACAAATACCCACGAACACAGGTTTTGGCACCAACTTTCTCCTTGCCTCCTTAAACCACATCAGAAGAACTTGGTCCACAGCATCTGCATCAGGTAGTCTCATCTTCTTTCGATCTAGAGCAAAGTTTCCATTGGAGTATGCTGCCACTATCTTCTCTCTATCCTTGATAATGGTGGGAATCGACCCTTGTGGAATGTTGAACTGACGACAAATCTCTGCCAGTGGAGCTTGCTTTTAGTCAACAGCCTGGGTTATTTCGTATTTTGTCAATCGAAAGGCATTTTCTCTTGCGTTTGACATCATTGGTGGCCATAATGAAAGAAGTAGGCTTAGATCTCTCTCTCTCTCTCTCCCTCCCTCTCTCTCTCTCTCTCTCTCTCTCTCTCTCTCTCTCTCTCTCTCTCTCTCTTTCTGTCTCTCTCTTTCTGTCTCTCTCTCTTTTTACCCATTGTTAACGAGCCTTTGCCCCTGCTATAACCGGTTGGGCTCCAATGAGGCCCTGTTATTGCCGATAACTTTTAATAGAGACAAAGAGTAGGAAAAAACGGGGATTTAAAAAATCCCTGTTATTACCGAATCCCTGTTATTACCGGTCCTGTTATATATGGTTTCCACTGTACTATGAAGGGATTTCAATTTCTGTCAACACGAAATCTGCTTTACAAAAAGAAATTCTATGACCCCGTGAAGTTACTGTTTTCAGGGTTTTACTGTAATAAAATATCACTTGCTGCATGATGAATTTCTGACGAGTAACTTGTTTGTCAGGAAGGAAATCATTCATCTATACGACTGTTACTATTTTTTACCGCAAAACGAACACTTTTGACACTTACTGTTTATGGCAAGTATGACCACTGACATAAAAGCTTTGTGGGTGGTTGGTGGCTACTCTGGTGTGGTTTGCACCTTCTTACCTGTCAAAAATCTATCATTCGTATCTCTCCTTCTTTACTTTGTATGTTACTCTTTAGTAACACTTCTAATGTTCAGCATTTGTATGACTTATTTGTGTATCAAGTGCAGTAAAACTCTTTCTAAAACAAAACTAAACATAACTTAAGCTTTGTTGGCTGCATATTCTTAAATGATAAATTTTGTTCAGGCTTGCTGAAATTGTGCCAAGTGAGGTCTTTTGTATGTTCTAATTTTTTTTAATGTCTTAAGTTATGCCCTTGTATATTCTGGTAGAGCTCTCCTTCAACATCCCATACTTAAAATAAGTTAAATGCAGGCAGTTGGAGGTCACCACTGGCAGCTCCTACTTCTTTACTTTCCTCTATTGTTTCTGTCTGTCTGTCTTTTTCTCAGCAGTAGATGACCATTATTCTATCGATGTACTTCTCTTTACTCAAACAAATAAACAAAAGTACTTGATGTCATGGCTACCCTCGTGTTGGCGTCACAGAGAGTTGGGACTCTCATGTCTAGTAGATCAAGCAAGTTCCCAAGGGAGGGCTGAAGGAGGCCTTTATCCAATGTTCTATCTCAGACCAGATCATGTGTTGTCTTTTGAACTTTTAGCTGGGCCAAGCAGCTGGTTGCATGTAGTGACCTCTTTTCTACTTCTATCTATTCAACAGCACATGAAAATAAAATTCTCAAAGCAATGTCAGGGTTCGCTCTGCCAACTGAAAACATTCCGGACTGGGCCAAAACATTACCTGATGACCAATGGCAACGACAAGTGCTCGGCCGCCTCAGGAAAGATGAACAGGAGGAACAGGTGTGGAGCGATCAAATATCAGAGGATGGGAAGAGTGATGATTGGGTTGCAGATTTTGAGGATGCTGATTAATTAATAATGAGGCTGTGTAGACTAAGCTGATCTTGAATACTCTGCGTAGTTGAAGACTGAACTAAACTGTGACTGTCTTGACTCGTGGTTCATGGACAGTTTTCATAAATCAGATGACAACTTTCTTGGGTCATGAAAATGAATGGAGTTTCACAAACATTTTATGATTCGTTTTAATGCTCATATTTTTATGTTTATCACTGTGTGCCAAGAACTTGAAACTCACAATGATTGTCTTGAAACGATGCCCGTGTTCTCTTTGAAGGCTTTCAGTATCAAGCCACCGAGGGGAACCTGTTCAAGCAGACAGAATCTGTCATCAGGCTGACAGGCTGGAATGAGAGAACTATGGAATTAGTTTGGATTGATGACAAGAATGCATCAGTGTGGTGGGGAGAAAGAATGAGAATGTTTTCTTTGATAATTATGCAGAACTACTACAGGTTCTACATGGCTTTGCTTCAGTCTCCAATTTGCTATATGCAGTGTGTATCTTGAGAACATTCTTTTTATTTTGCTTATGTTTAATTAATTCTTGTTGTTTCTTCCCAATTTGTTTATTTTTGGAAGGGACTCCGCTGATCAGCCAACAACTTTTTGAGAATGTTTGTTACAGTCAAGCATAGATTGTTCAAACACTGAAAACTTGAATTCACAGATAGTTAAAACAATATGCCATACGCGACTTAAGGGGCGGAGCGACCCTTGATTTTGCAGATTTTGGGTCAGGCTATGCACATTTTATGTTGGCTGATTTTTTCAGATAAACCTGTTTTTTGTCTAAAAATAGCATGGATGCAATTGAGAAAGACTTTATTCTCCAGGTTAATTGGCTTTAAAAACATGAGGATGGATTAGTATTGTGAATTTTCACAATTATTGTCGGTTTTCACAAAATGTAATGTTTGTGCAGTTTTTTCCCTACTCCTTCCTTAGTTTTCATCCTTTTGACATGAAACTTTCAGGAAACATTGTTGGCACGGCTGCCAGCAATGTAACAGAGAGATATTAGGGAAAAAAATAATACTTTTCCTTTGGCAAGCGATTTTGCAACCTAAATTTTAAAAAAGTTTTTTTATACTTTGGGAAAATTCTCATATTTATTTTTCTTTTGCACTTATTGAAAAAAACTTGCTGTTACTCTGATAGGGTCTGGTTCAGGTATACTATCCCCACATTTGGTCAAATTTAGTCTGTAAATAAGAAAGCCTTAGGGATTGGAAATCCATTGTTTATTTTCAAGATGGCGGCCGTTTCCATAGCAACCGCTTTAGCTATGTCAAAATGAAATTGCGTATCAAGAGATTTTACTGTGTCTAACTTATATGTGTACTTAGATTTGATCTCGGGCAACAAACATAGAAAATGGTCCTCAAGGGTAGCTCCTCCCGTTAACTGTTAGACCTATATTTTCTTTGTATTGGCAACACTTTTTTCTTTAACACCCACATGGACATAATGTGAAATATCAGATCAAATTTTTCCTCACTATTGTTTCGAATTCAAATTGCCATGCACGCACAATGGAATAATACAAACACACCCATGGTTATGGAAAGTATCGAGTTACATGAGCCCACCAGTCTCCTAGTCATATTGCATTGAGATGCATCATCGCACATCTCCTGTAGTGAGGGTGGGTGCTGAGACAGTGTGGCACTGCATTGGGTCATATATAGACAATATGTGTGAATTATGTTTATGTCTGTGTGTGTATGTGTGTGATTTATTTGATTGTGAAGGTATGGATCAGGAAGTGATTACACAAAAGGAATGGCTGGTGTGCTCTGACCAGTGTTGGTTATGTCATCATGATCTGATGTAATGTAAGAGCAATTTTTGGGGGATCGTAAAGCTCATCAGCATCACCCTCTTCGTTTCTCTTGCTTCGACACCAAACAAGGCACACACACTATCCATCCTTCAATCTTTTCATATATATGGATACTGGATACTTTTCATAATGGGAGGGATATTTTCTGACCATTCTACCCTAACAGTTACTTCCCTTGATTTTCTTCAATGTCTATCTCTTATTTGCCATTATCATGGTTTACTCAAATTACCGATGTGTCAAACATAATAATATTTTTGTCAATCTCCTATGTGTTCTAGATATCCGTACTTGACTGTACTTGTTTTTCAGTCTCTTCAACCCTGAGTGTGGGGGGCTGTTTGAATGCTATCATGTACTCTGCTCAAAAGGCTTCCTCGTTTATATGAATCTGAGTATTTATGATGCAAAACTCTGGAGTTGTGAACTTCTAACAAAATTTAGATTTGAATCCATTGTTAAAATTTGCAGTGTAAGAAGGTTGACCAAATTTGTCTTGTATTTTCTCTATTGATTAGAAGAACTTTTCATTGAATTTTTAAATGATTTAATTTGATGCCTGGGTTATAAACCTAGCTGTGGGTGTCTATATGGTAGCTGGTTTGTTTTTTTAAATATTTTTTTTGTTCAGTGCTCCTTTTCAACACAGATGGCTTATGGAGTACATGATGAAACTACTGTTTTACCATGTGTATGGGATAGGACCAGTTTAACAATTTTACTTATCTTTCTGTAGTTCAAGAGACCTTTATAATTGCAGTCTGTGATCTTTTGCCATCTCGGAGAAGAATTAAAGATGTACCATTATGATATTTATATTTGAAGAAAGGAATGTGGAGCCAGGGGCTCTATCATATCATCAAGCACGTTCGAACTCAGAACAAGCATTACTGTCACTGTGAGATAAGGTCCACTTTACTCAAGTCTCGAGCAAGGAGATTTGATATTTTGGTTTTCCAAGTGTAGCCAAGGAAATCACCATACAAATATGTACAAGTGTGTCTTTTAATATGTGTTTATGCAAATGTTGGTTTTTTGGGGGTTTTTTTTTTTTATGTTATCCTTGTAAGATACTTCAGGTAGATGGAGGCCCTCCTATGTTTTATTTGATTCTGGAATTTTTTAGGGTGAGAATGCAGAGATGTTAACTGTTGTGTACAGTTTCTCCCAGCTGCTGAAAGAAAAAAACAATACTCAGCAGAACGGACTGTGCATGAATTGAATAAAGGGTTGTAGTAATACAATTTCACATTGCTTGCTTGTTTGAGTTTGAGTAAGAGTTTTACAGTACTTGCAACGCAATTAGGTCATATAAGTGCTGAAGATTAGAGGTGTTACAAGAGAGTAACAAAAATACAAAAAAGAAGGAGAGATAAGCACAATAATATGTGAGGTAGCATGGTGACATTAGGCGCTCGTCAAAATAATCAATGGTGAAGAAACTGGCCTTTTTTCGCAGGTTTGTGAATTTTTAATCAAATTTTGTTTTTTGACTCATCACCTTTCATGCCCATTTCTCATTTCTGTGTTGGTGCTACTGAATTAAAGGCCCAAAAAAATTTAATTTTCAGTTTCCATGGACTCTCAAGCTAAGGAAAATAGTTCATCTTTGTTGGCCATTTTCTCACTAATTTTACCTCTGAAATCATTTGCAAATATATACCTCGACTTCTATTTAAGATAAATGGATATTTTTTTCATCCGAAGCAAGAAAAATGAACAAGCTTTAACTTTAAGATGATACCATATAACTCTACAAGCCCAAAAATTGACGAGAGCCTGATTCCATTGCGTCGGTACACTTTGTTGATAGGAAAGAAGGAGCAAACCATACCAGAGCACCTGCAAACCACCCACTTGCTTGCTTGTCAGAGATTGAAAAAACCACACATTGATGGACATAATAATGATAGGTGCAAGAAGGACAACTTCAAGATTTAGATTGGATTGAGAATATCTGAGAGGAAGGACTGACCAGTGATGAATGGAACTGATGTAAAGTAGCAGAATGTATCCATTAAAAAAGTTTTAGTGAGCGTTTTACGGCAGTTGCAACACAATTAGGTTATACAGTGGGTATCGCATTCAACGAGGTTGCCGGGACCAGCTTGTTGTCCTCGTTTGATCCGACCTCTCGTTGAACGTGACTAAGGCTAAAGTAAAGAAAGGAGAGACAATTTATTATATTATAGGATGTACCAATACCAGTAATTAAAATAGTTGTCCCCCTGATGATGATAATTTCAAACAGCATCAGTGTGCGCATGTTTGAGCTGTGATCTGACCGTCATTTCTGCATTTTTAAATATTGTTTTTCCGGATCACTTCTCGTCTGGAAACATACCCTCTCACATCTAGGCCTAGATATCTACATAAAGTAAAGGCGGGGAGCTTGGATTTTATGATAAGGGGAAGAAAAGAAAATTGAAAGAAAAAAAGGTCTCGATCTAGACCTACCCGTCCAGAGTTCATCCACTCAGTTTCACAGCAGCCGGCATCGTGTTCCCACCGTGGCTTTCTAAGTGACCTGAGAAAGCCTAGGTTCCCACCTATCCCCTCCCATTCTTTCCGTGGGCTAACCCTTGCCCATCCTCTTGGCTTTGGGGCCCATATCAGGAGGCACACTAGATCTGGCAATACAATGTGTTAGGAATCGATGATGGGCCTTGTGCTTCGCGTGAGATGGAGAGAAAGGAGAAAAATTCTTCGCTTTTGGGGGCGCTAATTGCTTTTATTTGGTTATCGCGACCTCGTTGAAAGCGACTTCAGTCTGTTTGCAACCTCGTTGGAGCTGACGTACATTTACAAATACATTTTATAGAGAACAAAATCGGGGATTAAGGATTGCCTCGTTGGAACCGATTTCTCGTTGAATGTGACCTCGTTGAATACGACACCCACTGTATATGCTGAAGATTAGAGGTTTTACAAGGGAGTAACAAACACAATAAAAAGGAGGAGAGACTAGGACGATAGATGTTTGAAGGAAAGAAGGAGCAAACCTCACCAGAGCACCTGCCAACTACCCGCATAATGTACCCTTTTGATCCAGAAAAGTAACATTTGAAAAGGAACTTTTAATTTTTAATGCTTTCGGCTCTTAATTGCTATTCATAGAGAGTACAATGTCTTTCAGCTTGTCACATTGTTTTTGATAGTTCTCTTCTGGTTATTATTTAATTTATAATATATATCCGTTTCTTGTTATTATTTATAACAGACTTAATTTTCTTCAGTTCAGGGATATAAATTAGAAATGTGTTTTATTTAATTACGGACTTAATTTTCTTCAGTTCGGGGATATGAATTATAATTAAGTGGGGTTTTTTTTTGGGGGGGCTTCTTTTCTTTTTTTTTTCTTTTTTTTTTTTTTTTGGGGGGGGGGGGGGGGGGGTTAAATCACAGTTAGACTATTCTCCTTTCAGTAACCATTAAATGTGTGTGTTCCTGAAGAAAGGTCCCAGTTGTCAGCAAAGCTAATTTTGAGCACCAGGGTGAAAAAGCAAAAAGAGGCTTAGCTTTAGCTGGTCAAAAATTTTGTTCCATCAGAAAACACACATTGAACCATTTCTTAATACATGTAATATGCAACTTATTGAAAGGATTTCATATTTTAAGTTGAAATATTTTTTTCATTTGTTATTTTTTCACAATGTTGATCTTCACCAAAGAAATGGAAATTTGGTTTTCCTCCAAACTTTGTTTTTACACCTTGTGTTACAAAAAAATGTGACATATAATGTTTAAAACTACTCAAGATATTTGAACATTTTTTAAATCAGTGTGTTCGACATTGAATTTGCTACTTGAATATATGCCCTGTATTTTAAAACATCCAAAGTTTCCAACAACTGGGACCTTTCTCCAGGCACACACACAAATCTTTAAGTTTTTTTTTTTTCCTCCCTCAAACATTATTTTATTGCTCGACTCAATAATAAAATATGTCTTGCTTGCAGAAGGATTGGAGTTATTTAAAAACTGTGAGTTCCCCCTTGTGCTGCTTAGTAGCAGGCCCACCTGACAAGCACTAATCAGAAGAAGAACCAGGAACTGAGAGCTGGGCTTGCAGACTGTTGTAGCCTCTGAGACAGTGAAAAATGAGAGTCTAATATTAATAATGATAATAACGATAATAATACTATTATATTACAATAGTAACAATAATACCATTTAATAATAATAATAATAATAACATTGGTCAATAAGCTTCTTTATTATATTTATTTAGTTTCTGTGGAATTCCTTGCATCACACTAAGTATTATTAATATTAAACCTTTTCTAAAAAATACAGTGAAATACCGATAGGTCGAACACTGAAGATTTGAAATCAAGCATCCGTAAAACTGAGCCTGCAGTCTGGATATCCCTCGAACTACGGATCACTCAAACTAACGAGGCCGGTCCCGACGAATTCAAGCTATCCGTTTGATACTGTATTTCTTTTTAAATATTAGGTGTTTGTTACACCCCTTAGAGCACAATTTAGATCATTTAGGAGGCGGGCTTCAAGCCTGCCTGTCAGGGCTAACCTGGGTTGAGTAAAAAATTTCCCCACGTGGGAATGGAACTTGGGTCTTCTGCATGCAACAGTAAAGGGCCTAACCACTGCACCACAGCTATGCCAGTGGTTTTATACTGAGTGAACCAGTCTGAGCAAGACCTGATTAAGAGAAGCAGGGGATGAGAAGTAACGAGTACCGGTATTGTTTGTTTTAGTAGAGGTTTTACTGCACTCACAACTGCATAAGGTCATATGCGCGCCAGAAGATAAGAGGTGTTACAAGAAAGTAACAAACAGAAAAGAAAAAGAGGAGATAAGGACGATAGACGTTTGACAGGAAAGAGGAAGCAAACCACACCAGAGCACCAGCCAACCACCCACGTACCAGTATTAGCAAGATGGTAGGGGAAGGCTGTTAGGAGTACGGAAAAGTCTTGTTTTTTTGTTTTAGTACATGTATGGTTTTACGAGGCTCACAACTGTATAAGGTCATATGAAAGCCAAAGGGTGGATGTCAACAGAGAAGTCCAAATGGGGAATCAGATTTACTCTGCTCACCTCTCTATCCTCAACAGCACAAAGTCTGCTTTGACTATCAAAGCACCCCGGAAATTGCAGTTCACAAGAGAGTGACAAACATTCAAAAGAAGTAAAGGAAAAATGACGAAAGTAAGGATGAGGAAAGAAAAAGCAGCAGTTCCCCCTATGTTGCTCCGATGAGCATGACATTGATAAATCAGCCCATCCACGATTCTACTGTGTAAGAACATGTTAATATCCCCCCTTTGGGAATGGCCTAAAAGACACCGAAATGTCTGATAGGTTGTGAATCAGTACATTATAACTGTGAAAGTGCACGTTGCACTTTTTTTAAAGTCTCCAATTTCTAGTTTTTAGGATGGTAAAATGCCTGTGACTTGCTTCATTTCTTCAATTTACATAAAAGGGTTTTGATTGTGTGTAATAAATCCAAATACAGAGACATTTACATTATCAGAAATAAGTTTCTTTCATCTCTGAAGACAGACCATGATTAGAGAGCAGGAAAGGAGGTGAATGGAAAAAAAAAATTTTGTGTAAAGAAGAAAATGGTCCATCGTCGTCATGCTTCGAACCCAGAACCTACTAAAAGAAGTAAAAGTAAAAGAGAGGCGAACACCATCTCAAGACCTCGAGAGCCTCCTGTTGGCGGAACTGAAAGGTTCTTTACTTTTTAGCTCCATTCATAGGGTCCGTTGTGCTTTTTCTTTCACCACTAGTTGTACACTGTACACATAGTAACTTGTAAGTAGTCATTTCCACTTCATCAATCTGCTTCTCTTTAATAAACAGTCATTTCGAACAGTGATCATGCTTTACCACCAGGTATGTGGTGCAATGGTTAGGCTCTGTGCCCATGCACACAAGCGATGCCAGTTCGATTCCCAAGAGGTGAAGTCTTATCAGACAGGCCCACATCCGTCTTTCTCCCAGAATATTGTATCTCGTTAATTCTGGATTCATAACGGAAAAAGACACCGGGACAGTGTCACAGCAGCCATGCTCCTCCACAATCTAAATCTTGTCCTAAGGAGCATAAAAGATCTATGATCACAAGCTCTTATAAAAGTATGATGAACCACAGGGGCATTGTAATAAGGAATTCAACATTAACCCTATCCGTACGTCATGTTTTACCATCGAATCCATACGACGTAGGGATCTCTGTGCCACCACTTTCAAAGAGGAAATTTACTCGTTAATCTGATCAGTATGCTTTGCATAGAAGTTTGTCAAAATGATTTTTTGAGAAATACTGAAAGTTTCAAAGAGATCTTCGTAACGGAAGTATTCTCAAATGTGAAGAAACAACCCCAGGGGTACAAAATGACCCAGGGCTACGAATAGGGTTAATTAGGAGTATCATGTCAGCCCTGGTGGGCACTTTTCAACTTGGAGATGCAATTTTCACAAACCATTAACCACAAGCAAGTTGTGTAAGCACCAGACTTGATCTATCATTTTAAAAATCCTTACTTTTTTTTTGTGCCAGTACCAGCAAGTTTGACAGCACACTCAGTTAATAATTCAATAGATTTGTTCATTATCAGGTATGGCATGGTAAACTTTGTCAACCCTTCAAACATCTTCAGGGGCATAATGTCAAGCCTTCATTCAGATTCATAATATTGAAGGAAAAATAAAAACAACCCTCAAAAAATCATCGTTTGATTAAAAACAATTGTTTTTATTCAATATTATTTGTCTTACTTTGAAATGGAGAGATGTTCATATACAAACAAGTCTACAAACATACAGACATGCATACACCCACTCACGTACACCTACAAACACATACTGCCTCATATGAATATAAGAGCAAAATGAGTCACAAATTCTTGGCTAGACACTTTCATGAGTACCATAGTTATTACAATAATGAAAATAAGGAAAAGAAAGAGTGCACAACAATGGAGTTACTTAATCATTATATCATGACTTTAAAAAAACAAAAAAAAAACAAATAAATATATAAGAGCTAAACAAAACAAAAAATGGAAACTACTACATGCTCTTGGTTAGTTTGACCGGAAGACCCTCCTACCCCACAGTACTGTGTGGTTTGGGCAACGCATTGACAGGGGTGGAGAAAAAGTCTAAATAATTCTTACATCAACAGCAACTCGGTCTGAAAAAAATACACATTATAAATTCCATACCAGTACCCAAAAAAAATTGACCAGTGCACCTGATCTTGACGCAAAGGTCCCTTTTTTCCCCCGGCTTTGTTCAGAACAGGAATGAGACATAATTGGTCCTTACAAGAAGAAAGTGCAGAGTGCAGTCGAGAGAGAGAGAGAGAGAGAGAGAGAGAGAGAGAGAGAGAAATACTCTTTATAAATATTTTATCCAAAATACCCATTAACCACATATCGGAACACACTAACGGTAACAGAATTTGAAGAGAAGTCTGTGAGCTGACACATCTAGGTGGAACTTTTGCCACGGCAATCACAAGAAACTATAGCAGACATTGTGGTTTGGGGGGCGGGGGGACCTGCATGCCAACAAGTTATTACACGATACATCCATACTCAAGATAAATGCTCTGAATGAAAATCAACGTATGTCTAATTACTGCATCCCTATGATGAGAGTAAAATTACCATTGAACAATAAATTTGACAAAAAGAAAACAATAAGTCTGGCAAAGGCTCTACAGGTACGAAACTGGAATGTTAATAACAGTGTGTATCATAATGGAACATTGTGTTGTCATCGTGCTGGGGGAGGTGGGTGGGGTAGGGAAAAACCAAGTGCCTCTAGCTGACGTCAAAATGTGAGTAGCCATAACATGCAACACAAACTCAACTAGTGCATCATGATGAAAACAGCTTGGGGGAAGGGGGGCAGAGAGAATGATGGAGGATGAAGCAGATGCAAAATTGTCCACGGTATGATAAACTCTTTGCTCCCAACGCAGTATCACCTGGTCTATGACGTGGTAAAACGAGCAGTCAGGCAAACACTGCAGACATAGAACCTGTACTTGGTACAGGTGTAGCCACATTCGGACACACACATACATACACACACACACACACAAAGACAAACACATACAGACAGACACAAATGATTATCACAGAACACACAGTATATGTAACATGATACAGCTCCAGTACACGGCTACACTAGAAATAAGGTTCTCTAAATATTTCCTATTTCGTTTTGCTTAGAACGTACTCGCTCTCCACTGCCATTCAAAATAATTCAAAAGCTTAGCGTACTAATGTACATATTCATAGGCTAAAAACACTTCAGTTCCGAGCCATAAGCATACATACCCTTTTTTAAAAAAAACCAGGAATACCAAGACATGAATGCTGCAAAGAAAAGACACACATCCCACTGGTCCAGCCAACATACCCGGTAAAAAATATAAATAGCCTCCATACAAACTCCATTTAGAGCAGACAGGACATGAAGAAAGACGACAAGTGACATCTTTTCCTTCAGGCTTACACAACTATATTATGACTTCAGTTCCATCCCCTGGGTCAAGGATGTGGGAACAGTGAATATCTTTACAGTGGATGCTGCTGAAGACAATGTCAAGGGAACACAGAAAGAAAAAAAAGACATTCGCTTTAGCCATACAAATCATCTGGTCAGTTCCCTACCTTTTCTTTTTGGTACTGGTAAGGGGACACACACACAAAAAAAGCCATCATGCACATCTGAGAATCATTTGATCAGAATTCATTTTTCAAAAAAGTCCTAGATATTCCAACAATACACCACACAATCACTCAAGACCAGCCACGGTACTTCATTCAGGAGAGTAGATCAAAAGAAAAAGAAAACGCTAAATGCTAAAAAGGCCACATCAGTTTTTCTCAGGCGAAAACACTAGTCTTTTCTACAAAACTCAGGGGGGGGGGGGGTGTATGAATCCAAGACAACAGAGGGAGTCAGGACTTCAGAACAAGCTACCTGTGGCACCTTCCAAACGCCCAGTCAAACAGTTGTTTTCGCAGATAGTGAAGTTTCGCATGGAGCTACACAGAAGAATAAAACAGAAAGTAGCATACTGATTAACAAACTGGCCTCATGAGTTGATGACACCGGGAGGCGGATGCATGTCCCAGCACACTATAACACTTCACACATCCAGGCCTAGAGATCACGGCAGGACGGTCACTTTTGTTTCTGATGGACTCACTCATAGAATGTAATGCGGAAGGCCATATTAGGTCATAATATCTATATCTATACATATATATGTGTATTGTAATTGTTAAAATACTGAAAAGCCCTAACATTTCCACTACTGTGGTTATGCCTGAGAAGGGGGCGCAATGAAACATGAAAAACATTTCAACTCTATGTCTGTTCACAGGAACTTGGTCTGCTCATATGTCAACGGCTAAATATTAAAAAATGAGGCTGAGCTTAAGAGGAGATGATGGTGTAGGCTTCATTGCAGACTACAAGAAACATAAACAAAAAAGTAAATCTAAACAACACAATGACAAAGCATTCAGTAGCAGATACAACTGTCCCAGTGAACCGCCCCTGCTATCCCATCCACTCGGGAAACACGAGTCAACACATGAAACAAGGGTGGATTGCATGAGCAAATTTGAACAACACAGCGATACCTGGGGGACACAATGGAGAACCCCCCCAGGGAAATGACATGCGAGATTATGCCTTTAAAAAAAAAAACAACCCAACAACCTGCCCACCACCACCATCAATTGGTCACTATCATGCTCAAGGTCGACCGACACTCATTCCCCCCTTAGCACACCTCCATGTGCTCTCCTCAGAAGACAAAGTCACAAAAGTCATCATAGAGTATTCATCATTTACTTAGTGTTACACAAGAGTATACAACACACAGAGACTAGGCAGGACTGGTTACATGAAACACACAACTCTCCAAATAACATTTTGCGATAGACAATGCCACGTAAAGTACGGTACAGAATATTTAACAACTGATACTATGCTGAAGATTTTTTTTTTTCCAGATGACTTTAAAAAAGCAACAAAATGGGTGGTATTAACAGTTTGTTTTTTTTACAAAAAACCAGCATAAAAAGGTAATATTGGACGTCTTTCATAAATCGTCTGAGTTGGAGAAAGAGCGATTTACAACAAATGATACATGAATACCCTTTGTGTGGTACCTCCCTTCCTCTCAAGAGCCCATTGCAAGAAAAACAAAACAAGAGGAGGAAAATGCATTGAGAACATGCCTGTACAATGACAGAACAATCGAAGGACTATATCACGGTAAAATTTCACCATATTCAATAAGCTCTATGTACATCATATAAAATTTTTATTAATAAAAATCACTCAAGAATGCATGTACATATTGTGAGCTAGCCCCTACCACTGAATCAAGTTTTTAAAAAAAAAAGAGAGAAAGGAAAAATGTCCAAAAGTGTAGGACACCAATGCACACATCGTTAAAAAGTTTTTTTTAAAAATCTCAGTAATTAGTTCAAGCTTCCCACACCCTGCATATATATACATTTCTAAGCCAAACTATTTCTGCAGGAGATTAAGGCCCAAAGCAGTTAACAACTCATAGGGACACCAAAAAGAATCTGTTCTTATCCAAAATTCAAGAAGGCAATGTATAATGCTCAGTCTGTAAATATAAATTTCGAGTAGAATGTTAGGCTTGGTACAAGCCAGTCTGTTCAAGCTACACTCCACAATTGAAAGGCCAAATTTGGGTGGTGGAAAGGTGAAGAAAATGAGGAAATTTGTCCATTGAGAAACATTTAGTTTTCAAAATGTTACTTAGGAAGAAATCCTGAACACATATGTATGTTCTACGTATTTCCTTTCTCTCACAACTTTGTAGTCAGTAGCGCTGTTAAGTTGATCAAAGAGATGTTTCTCTTACCACTTTTCTTCATATTTTTCATTTATCGACTCGCTGAAGCCATCGGTGACAATATTCTGACAGCTTTTGCTTTTACTAGAAAAATTATGGTGAGTTTTGTCATTTTGACAAATATCAAAGAAACGAACAGTTCTAACTCTCTTTACCACAACTAGTTGTACAAACTGTGGACCCAACACCCCTTGAAAAACGAACAAATGGCTTGACGTCCACTCCCAATCCCATCTATCTCATAAACTAACAAAACCTTCCATTATCAAATGAACGACGTTTGTTCATTTTTCTCCTACCTATGATGACAAGCGGTTGTGAAAAACATGCCTCCCACTTTAGTTGCTGAGGTTCACAATGCACAGATACCACTGAACACTAGTCCGGAAATAAAGCCTGAGGTGAACAAACAGGCAGAGGACTGCAGTACATGATCCGACTTGCTCCCTCTCTGTTCGTTTTCAAGCCTTTAATAACACTGATTTCGGCACCCACTGGAAGCAGAACTCTTTCGGGAAAAACAAACCCATAGCACAATGCAAACACTCACCTACACCTGATGCCGAAGTGGGACAATGTTTGATTTAACATGATGTTATGAGGGAATAACCTTCAAATTAAAAGAGGGCTGAAGTGAAAAGAAAAAGTAAGGATCTTCAGCGTAAGTACATGAACTGCTCCTACATTCAATAGAAACAAGAACAGGTGGTAAAATGCATCAATGTCATTGATCCCAACCCCGGCATTGACAAGCACAGACACAATATGTGTGCATCTCTCTATAGGACATCTCAGACTCTTTTAATTGAGAAGCTTAAAACTTTCATGGTCACTTAGCAGATACCAGCTACATAACTGACAGGGCCTGTTCAAAGAATGGCTGCATAAATCTACCAGACTTCTATTCTATTTCATGATGTATGTTTACATGAGTAAAGCAGAAACTTCAGGAAGAAAAGACAAGAAATGTGGAGATGGAATCTATTTCTATTCCTTCACCAAGTAAGCAATGACCAACTAAAATAACCCCAAAAAAACTCCTCCATTGCTCCCCAAGAGGTCCGACACGTTTTTGCTGATAGCAAAGCCTAGCTGTGAGTTGTGAGCACCCTCCATGTGTACACAGGCACAAGCCATCTCATGTCTGACCGTCCCCTCCACCCTCCCCACCCCCTTGCCAACACGCACGAATCAAAGAGTGCGCATCATCTGTGTGTACGGGCAGCACTCTAATCTCCGTGCTGCATGGCCAGATGTCGGGGGCCGTCATCAATTCTGTTCCGAGGACGTGATGAGGAACTCGTCACTGCGCTTGTGGCTCTCCAGAGCTTTGATCATGGACATGTCGTGAGGCAGTTCCGACTTGCGCCGCAGCAGGGGCTTCTCCTTCTTCTTCTTCTGGATCTGAGGACAGACGTGAAGACGTCGGTCAGTGACAGGGCGCCGAGAGCAAACGAATATAACAGGAGAGCGCTATCTACCAGTTTAAGAAAACATCATAACAAAAGAAAGCTTTTCAGAAATTTGTGATATAATTCAGAGGCAGTGATCACTGAGTGACCAGGGGAAAAGAATGATGGAGAGACAGAAACAATAGAGGCAGTTAAGTACAAGAAAAAGTTAGACCTGCAAGTGGTGCCCTCTAAACATAAGAAGAAATTAATAGATCTCCCACTGTCAGTAAGAATACTAATGGTACCAGTGGACTTAATTAAACAAAATTCCCTTTCAGCTCTTTATTTTTATCAGGAGAAAAAAAAGGCGGTTCAATGCTGGACAGATGATAGCATCAAAGAGTGCGCATGACAAAGCATCATACAGTTTTCCATTTTCCAAGACTTAGTCTTCACGAGTGAGGAGCCATCCATGCTTCAGAAGAAAAACATATGTCTAAATTTACACATTCAACCATACAGTAATTCAGATTTTCTAAAACTAGTTTTTAAATAAACTAACATAAAAATAACACAACATGTTAAACAAGTAAAAGGGGGAAAAAAAAGAATCAAACAAAACCAAACAAAAAAAAAAAAAAGAAGAAAAAGCCAGTTGAAGTTCTGGAAAATAAATCGGGCAAAAACAAAAGTTGCACCCTCAGACTGAAATAAAAAGATACATGGAATTAATGACAACCATCAACACTTCAAACCAAAGACGAGATTGACTAGTAAACACAACCGGTTATGTCCAGCACTACGCAAGCACAAGTGAGAGGCAGTCACACACAGTTCAAAGCTGTGCACCACTGCACTAAACAGGACCAAACAGAAAAAAAACTAGTTTCAAACAGAACACACGATTAATTCTCACACAAAAATAAAATAGCCTCCCAGTTTAAAATTGTTCTTTCAGAGATGAAAGAAACTTATTTCTATCTTCAGAATTGGAACAAAACAAGAACCAAAAAAAATACTAATGATGCATGGATTATAAATAAAAATAACCTAAAACAAAACAACACCCCCCCCCCAAAAAAAAGAGCCGCAAATGATTCATAAAGCATTAAATGAATGTCTACCCCAAAAAAATTCACCAAGCGCTAAATAACATAAACAAAATGCTATAAATCAAACAACACACAATCAAGGAAATATTTGAATGTTGAAGAAAGAGACAAAATGTGTTGTGAGAAAAACTCATTCCTGTGACAGGACTATCAAGTCGGAACCAGAACTTAAAAATACAGCAGCTGTAGAGATCTCAGTAATACTATATACCCAAGTGGCGCGAAAATCGGACCTGTTTCACTCCAACAACTATATAGTGGTCATAAGACGGTAAAAACCCCTCAGCAAACCATGCCGGACAACCGTGCTCCAAATCTTCATGTGGTTTGGGGTTTTTTAAAATCAGAAACTGTCAAATAACTCTGCTCACTGCCTCATTTCTCATTATCTCACTCAGAATTAAGAAAAAGTCACTTTTATTTCCGGCGCAAACGTAGAAGATACCATTTTATTTGTCAGCCCTTGCCATTTAGAGCCATAATTTAAGCTACAGAAACAGGGATGGAGGAACTATGAAAAAGCAAATGATAAAAAAACCAAAAGCTTGAGAACAATAATTAGACGTCATCCCTCTAAAATTAAGATCAACTCGAATAGTCCTGAAATCCCACAGCCAGTCACTCAGAAAAGGCTGTTATAAGACTCACCTACCTGGACTACAAAAGTGACATAAAGGGTCAATACTGGCATGCCCCGAGTAATGAGATCAAAAAGGAATATGTCATGCCACATATAAGACAATGCCAGCAAACATCTCTCATTATTGCAACATTTCTAGATTGCACAGACGCCTTAGAAATCTCTTCAGTTGTCTCAGCGCTATATCATTCCACAACAAAGGGGACAATAACATGCCCTGTTCTCGCATTTTAGATATGTACTTTCTTGTCTTGAATAACTGCAGAAACACTGCTACTTAATGCAGAGTCATCAATCCTCATCCTTTGAGTCCAAATGTCTGTGCAGCCGTAACTCCTACTCAAACAGTGACCACTTCCTTTCCAAAAAACTTGCATAGCCACTCCACTAAAGAGTCTTCTACCGTGGTACACCCAAAAGCAGTTTCAGCTCAAAGAAGTAAAAGTGTTGACCCTAAACTTAAGGGGAACATGACAACTGGTTTCAACAAATACCCTTCAGACCCTTCCTTTGTAGCCATTTGATAACAAGTTCCCCTAATCATTCAGAATGGCAGTTATGCTACTGAGATCCAGTTCAATGAATAAATCATTCCGCCCCCCCCCCCCCCCCCCCCACCCCACACACACACACCTCCAAGCTCATATGTATCAATATACAGGTAGAGTACACACCAATTCCCTGACCCTGATAGTGTGATTTCAAACAGTTATATGTCAATCTGAGCTGAAAAGATCTACGATGAGAGAAGGTTTTTATCATCCCATTGATTACAATCTAACTTTGAAAAGAATGACATACACTGAGATTACGCAAAGCTAAAAGCTAAACAGTAGCCTTCATAGTGCCAAAACAAAATTAAGCTCAGTACTTTAAAGCTACCTTCAGGATGTGCCAGGGCAAATCAGTCTACAAAATTCTGTTTCACAGGTTTATAAACCCTCTCTCATTAAATCAAAAAGCTGCACAGCACACTAATGTTTGCTTAATTCACCATTAACTTTAAGTTTTCTGAACTATTAACCACCTCTTTATAAAACTGGTATTCCTTTGTTTCAAAACTTATAGTGGACAAAGTAGAAAGTATGCGTTCAATACTCCTCACAAAAAGTTGGGGACAATGAACTTCCAAGCAAACGACAACAATGAAATTGATGCATGACACACATATAATAATTTATCTTCAAGTCTATATGCATGGCGCAGCCTAGTCCTACGACAAATAAACACATTACTTTTATCATCCACATGTAAAAAAACTGAGAATATAGAAGAAGTCTAATCGTAAGACAAAAAAAAAAGCTTTACTCCTGACAGAACTGTGTTGCAGGCAGGAAGTGTGGGAGGATAAGGCCACACACTACTCCTCAGTTTCAGTAACATATCAATAGGCCATCTGTAGCACCATTGAAAACGACCAGGAATTCCTTCATTAATTCTGTGCATCAGCACGGCAACGGCAAGCTATCAAACTCAGATAAGAACCTCTCTATTTTATTTGATAGCTCACTCTGTAAATCGTTAGAAGTAACACCACAGAACTTTTTCTTATTTCATGTAGTTCAAAACAACTCAGTTAAGAATTTTAGAAAGCAGCAATAGCCATCTATTCTCCATGGATATCACCATTTATAGAAGTTCAGTGCCCCTACTTTTCAGGAGCAGTATACATCAAGCACCACTGAATGTCTTTTTAGAAATCACATTAGCATTCACTTTGATATGATAATTTTATAAAGCATTTCTTTGGCGATTTAAAAAGTAACTCGTAAATGATACATCAGGTGAAGTTTTATAAATAGATTCCCTTCAGCTCATCTGGGTAGTGTTCAGGGTGAATCAAAATAAAAAATAAAAGACCAAAAGTTTTTAGAGTAACAATCAACAACCAGAAAAGCAACAAAAAGAGGCCCACTAGTTCTGGGTCATAGGCTGGGCATGAGGAAGGGATGGGAAAAACTTGCGGTGAGTCTGAAACCTCTCACTGCTCTTCATCCCACTGACCTGAAAGAAGGCAAAGTCAGAACATGGTGGAGATCAGTGGTGAATGTGGGGGAGGGGTAAAGTTTTTAACCAAAGGAAACACCAGTTCCACAGATTGGAGAAAAAAAATTGTCATTATTTCAAGTCCCAAATTATTTGAATTATATGTATGACTGAATAGCCACTGCTACAGATCCTGAAGGTGCACAGTATCTGACTTTTGGCGGGATTCCAAAAATAATATTTTCTAAAACTTTAAGCAGTTCATGACAATTGGTCCTTTCCATCAGTCAGGCTCCTCCCCTACGTCTGAATCTGCAACTTATTATTCAAGCTGGGAATTTCCTCACAACCCAGAAATGCCGCTATTTTTCAAAAATTTCTGATAAACAGAAAATTGGTATCAGTAACTACATCTTCGATGTGGGAGAAAAGTCTACCTAAACAAAAACACAAACCAACCATCAGAAAGAGACAGAGAAACCATAGCAGAGCCCCCAGACCCACGAGTGTGTACCGAAGGGCTCTTAGACTAAGTAAACCTTTCTCACAACGCTCAAATAAAATAGCAGCACTGAGTCTGAAAGTGAATAATATCAGAAATAATAATTGCAACAGCAATTAAAATAATAAAGATTAACGTAAGCAAAAGATGAAAAATGCTAGTCAGCTTTATGAAAGAGTTCTATGTCAAAGACTCCTAGTTAGTACAAGGTGTCCACCCTTGTTTGAATAACAGTGTACATGAACAACATTTGATTGAAAAAACTCCCGAAAAATACAAAAACACCTCAACAACCCCCCTCCCCTCCCTTTGTAATATTCAATAAAGTAAAACAATCATGTACACACCCTTCAATACAAATCCAAACACAGTATGGAAAAAATGGGTGTCAAAGATAAAATATCATTGGTATATTAAATAATATAATAGATGTATTACAGAATACAGACACATTGGAATATTGGCATGTATGATAGGAGCAGCTAGTTCTGTTAAATAAATGTATATGCACAATGTAAGGCATAAACTTTTAAAGCAATAATATCATTGTAGCAGTACTCTTGGCTACTCGGAAAATATTTTTTAAAAATTAAAAAACAAGGTGGAAGGTAAACTTACGCCACAACTCTCAGCTGAGTTTGAACCAGTGTCCGACTTCTAACGGATCACTTTATGACCACGAAAAGCCAAAGAGTGCAAACAACTACTACCACCAGTGGCACCCTCCAACCATCTACACAAGTAAGAGAGACCAAAAGGCACCGAACCAGACCTTCAAAATTACCAGTAAAGAAGTCACCTCAAAAGCAAAATTATGCCCCAACAGAAGAAATGATAAAAAATCAGTTAATTTATGAAAACTTTTTGTTAACCAAAAGCCGACAGCTCAGACTTTGACAGTTCTGACTAAAAAAACATATGATCCCCATCCTTAAAGATTCACATTCTAGAAAAAAGAACAGGGCAAGAACATGCAGTGCTCTTCTGGCTAAAGTACATGCACACACGAAGACTCACAAAGTAGGAAACAATAGTGAACACAGAATGGTGAAGCACAAAAGCTCCAAATATTCTAATTCCGCGCTATTTCTAGCACTCTAAGAGAAGCAGTCCCTGGGCCGAAATTCGGCAAGCTTGTACTGTATTGTAGTGACACTGACCACACATTCCCACATTGGAGTCATGTCTCAGTCAGTTCTAAGAACAGTGCACCACAGCTCTATCAATGCCACTATCAACACAATGAGAATACTTGAGAGGCAGGGCAGCCCATTGCAAGGGCCATCTCCAATACGACTCTGAGCCAACCACCTATAAACAAAATGATGATGAATCAGCCTTCTGTGCAACAGGCTTCGTCACAAGTAACCCTTCAAACAACGTACTGGAAACCCATCAAACATTCATTAATGCATGACAAATAAATATTTCGGTGCTGAGCTCTCTCAATGACAAACAGAAGCTAAACAGCCGCAAAGACATATCAACAGTTAAGTGGGTGCAACTTTTCTTAGGAGAGACTGAAGATAAATATTGGTGTCAGAAGAAAAGCATAGCCATTGTACAGTACGCAATACACAATATGTTGCTCATTTCCAAGGAAAGCCCGACGAAGGACTGAAACTACAGACTGAAACAAACATCGAGGCCAAGGGAATAATAGTGGAGTAATGTGTGCATTTCACAGAAGTAGATACGTGAGTTTAAAAAGCCCTATAACTTTTTAAAGGAATTACTAATTCAGTAACATTATTACAACATTTTACAGCATATGAAGATCTGGTGGCTTGGAAGTCATGCTTATATGGAAACAGCAACAAAAGCGTGCATATGGCATTTAATCTAACACAGAAGTACGTGTCTACAAATACAAAAACAACTGGAAAATACACAGGTCTGGGCCATGATAGAATACTCAGACTCAAACGATGCCATGACCATTCAACTAATTTCTCAGAGCTGATCCCATTATCATAATTTATCCTGTTTTGAAGAATTGCTCCAAATGAGAATTGTACCATTAAAAATCTTCAAAATCATTGATTTCTAGGAATTCACTATGGTCAGACATTGCCTGATGAACAGTACAGAAGTTCAGGTCATTAAAAGAAAGCATTGAAAAGTATTGATGCACACAGAAATTGAGAAAAACAGCTTGTCTCAATACCATAATCCTCAGCAATCCCTTAATTTAAACTTATTGTTAATAATTCTGTACATCTGTAAATTTTTTTCACATGAGGCAAAAATCTGGTTCTCACTTCACCCAGAAGCTTCGAGTATTACAGCAGTTTAATCTCATGATAAAAATACCATATTTCAATGCTTTGTGATCTCGCACGAGTTGGGTAAAAATCGATGTTTGAAAAACCCTGGACTAACACAGAAAGAGAATTACACCAATGGTTTGAGTCATTCTCCAATGGTGAACACAGCTGGAGAGCCCGCTTTCTTGTCTGCCTTTGACAAATGATGAAAAAGGAGTATTTGAGGAAAGGATCATAATAACCTGTTGTTAATGGAATTTGGACAATGCTTTGGGGGGGGGGGGGGGGGGGGGGGGGGTTGGCGTCTAATTTTTCTTGCATTGTAAAAAGAGTTTCTGAACATTAACAGTATCTGAGCTGACCTTTTGAGAATGTCCCATGTGTCTCCATCAAAATATATTGGTAAAATTAAAATATGTCTGCGCATGTAACCCTAAACTCCATTATATACCATTCACAGAAGAGGACACACAATGATGTTCAACAAATATTACGCCCTGGTGCAAACTCCCAACAACAGATACATTCTAAACACAATCTACTCAAAACACCAAAGTGAAGGCAACGATAACAAAACCAATAAAGTTCCTAGTCAAGCCCCAATGTGTGCACAACAGCATGCTTGCACACATGCCCACACACACTCAAACACAGCTTAAAGCATTCTAAATGAGCTGTCTTTTCTGTATAACAGCATATTTTAAAATGTTTGCATGTGTGTGTGTGAAGGAGAGAACATGTAAGAGAGAGCAGAGAAAAGATTGGAAGACACGAGAGACTGTATGTAAGAGCGCACCCGGGTGTGTGTGTGTGTGTGTATGTGTGTGTGTGTGTGTGTGTGTGTGAGGGAGAGAACATGTTAGAGAGAGAGAGAGGGCAGGAAAGATTGGGAGATACAAAAGAGAGGATATACCAGCCCGTCCGCCTGCCCGTGAGTGTGAGTGAGTGTGTGTGTGTGTGTGTGTGTGTGTGTGAGAGTGTGTGTGTGTGTATGTGTGTGTATGTGTGTGTGTGTGTGTGCGCACACGTGCATTATAGAGTGAGAGCAGGAAAGAGAAGGAAAGAAAAAATCAGTGTAAGAAATGATGTATGAATGTGTACAAATGTCAAAAAGATTCTCCCTATATTTTGAACGGTTCTTTTTCCGTGAACAATGCACTGCCATAGGGCTTGCACCTTACTCCTCATGACTCCGTACATAAACTAAGATAAATGAAAAGCCATATAAGGTCGAAGCATTGAATGGCAATACGTTAACACATACAGGGTTAGTCTGCACATAATCGAAGAAAAATACAACATGAAGAAAAGTGTTAACACCCAACACCATACGCTAACACAACGCAGACACATACATACACCCACAGCTGCTCCCCCTTTGTGACAAACTCTCATCATGTCCAAAACCCATTTCTACCAAGACGGAAAACTAAACAGCTGATTGAAGCGTAACTCTGCAATATTTATGTTTGGCTTTAATGACTTCAAGGTTATGTATGTGAACATCACTACTTTATAATCAATATTTATATCAAACAAATATTCAAGCTTTGTCTTTTAAAGTGTCAATCAACTCCCTATCTGCTCATTCACACTTCACTGAGGATACAAACCCATCTGACCTGCACACCAAAACAATATTCTGTTTTAAGCCGAACTAATCCATAGCACAAGATGAAAAGGTCTTTAACTAAACAAATAAAACACCAGAATAACAGTGAACAAAGATGAGAGAGGCATACAATTAGTGGCCTAACAGTTAGACGTATTATGACAGAAAATTAACCTATGACAGTGAAGAAGGAAGATCCTTTAGGCTATGAAACATGCTGTTAAATATGTAACAGAATAATACACTGACCAGACTTTGATAAACCAAAAACAAAACAAAAAATCAGCCCCAAAAGTTTCAGCGACTGAAGTATAAAAAAAAAGTTTTAAAAATGAGATTGACTGGAGAGAAGCACAGCATTAAAGAGAAAAATGAAAGAAGGGGAAAGGGTACCGGGAAAAAAATAAAAAATAAATAATATATCAAAGTTTATATTTAGCAGAAAACATGAAAACAAATAACAAAGCCGGAGCATTTCTATGAGGTGAAAGTCATTACTTACAATAGAATTCTTTGCCTACACAGGAATCCAAGGAGGGAAAAAATAGAATGGTTGACCAGTTAAAAAATCAAAACAAATTCATCATGGGCATTTCAATTGTCAGAATCATGACAAAGAGGAACAAATAGATGTAGGTTGGGATTATTTAATATTTTGTATTCAGCTAAAAGCAATGTCAAAGTATTGAATGCCATACATGTAACAGACAGCTGAGCTCAGTGTATGTTATAGCAATAGTGCACACATTTTTTATAACCCACATGACCCGTCAATACATTCACAATTCCTACCCACATTCAAGAATACCGTCCCAAAATTGTAGAGCAAAAGTTTGTTATTTATTTTCTTTGAGGTATAAAAAAAAAAAAGACTAGTCATTGTGCAATATGTGTCCACCACAACTTGTTTCCATAAAGTTTTTCAACAAGTTTCTCCCTAGTAGGTGAAACTCAAATATTAACCCTTTAATTCACTTCAAAAGGCAGGAGCAAATGAGCAAAGATAAGAGGAAATGCAACAGGTGAAAGCACAAAAGACTCGTACCCCCAATTCCACAACACTGTAAGCTGCATCAAAACTCATTTGTCATATTTTTGCCAATACGAAAGGTATATGTGAAGAATAATTAACTCTGTACACTTTTTTAAAATCCACTGTTCATAATGAAGAAGTAAACGTAAATGTCCTTGGTGCTCAATCCATGACAAACACTCAAAAAGGTTTCATTCACCCCTGCAAAGATGCATTTAGGGGCAGCATCATTGAGGCTCTACATGCTCAAAAACCATCAAATGTCAGCGTTCCCATTAAGCAACACATACTATTCTTACATCACTTGAATTAGTCAGTAGTGTTTAGGTCAGCCATAGAAATGACATAGAATCTGAGTTTTAAAAATGAAAACTTTGCTCTCCATTTTCAACATCCCAAAGTTTAGCTCTTACAAGTTTGAAACATGGAATATCTCCTGATCAAGTACCTCTATAGTAAAAAAGGCACAGAATTCTGAAGGAATCAGATCATTTCGGTTTACTGTTTTGCAAAATTACACGAAACAATGAACCCGAAGGTTTGAACAGTCATCTAAGCGCCTAGGCCAGTACAGATTTAGCAGAAGATGGATGGGTGGGGGGTCTAAAAGGCAAATCAACACAACAATCGTCAGCTTTACAACGCTACTCTTTGGAAGGTGCAAAGTTCAAAGGCATGAATAGTGCAGAAAAAAAGGTAAGCCTCATAGCAAAAAAACCACTATTTTTTAAAATACCCCCACTAAAGGAGAAAAAAAAAGACACGGGTAATAGAAAAAAGAAAAAAGTTTTTTCTAGCATCTAGCAACTACTGGTAAATAGAATGGAGAAACTTCAAAGACAGACCACCACCTATAGACCTTTTACACAACAAATTACAATGAACGCTTACAAGTTTGTGACTTTCATAAACAATGGCGGCAGGAGAAAGTTCAGGAGAAAACAAAGAAAAATAAACAGGAAAACAACAAGGAGAAAATATCTCACAGGTTTTTAAAAAAAATTTTGTTTACTGGGATAACTGTGCTCATATGAAAATTAAGTACACTGATCTTGACTTTCATAAATAAAAAAACAAACAAACGAATGACTACAACAACAAAACACATCTCAATACTCTTCCCAAAAAAAAATTTTTTTTTTTTTTTAACGTTCGCATATATATCTACAATCCTTTTCCCAAGTTTGCTACATTTTTACTACTTCATAGTACACACTATTCTATATAAACCCAGTCTTCCAATTTCTGCTCCACTCATCTAAACACCAACACCTCCCAGTCAATGATACCCTTTTATAGAAATTCTACAGAAACACAATGTACATATGAAGACATCACGCTAGGAAGACAGGAGAAAATAGTTTACGCCACATGACAACAGACACATAACAGCGAACAAGGAAGTACCAAACACACAAAAAGAGGTTAACCATGCTGGATTGCATTGATACTTCTGTGAAGAAACGCATGTCCTTTATAACCCGTAACAGGCAGTTGCTTTTTTCCCCTCACAGTATCTGACTACAAACAACCCCTGCTGCTCAACTGCTCAAGAGGGATTTCTTTGGTACTTCTGTGATGAAATCATGTTCTTTGTAGCTAGTGTGGGGTAGCTTTCTCCCCCTCAAAGTACTTGGCAACACCCGACCCCTGTTGCTCAAGACAGAAGCAAGACCATCATTCGACTAATAAAGGTATGTGCGTGACACTCACATCCTTGGCCTCAGCCTCCAGCTTCTCCATGGTAACAATATACAAGGGCATGAAAAGATTTTAAAACTACTTCAGCCATATACTCCTTGCATCTTCCATCATTTCATTTACTGCTGCACTACAACAGCTACCACCCTGCATGACCACTGCCCAACTCATCACATCCTCTTCATATGAATAATTAAGTTGGTTGACACGGCAGTATCTCTGAGGTTTGATATTCCCATAGTCAACAAAACGTCACAGATCCCATATTTTCCAACTCAACATCTCTTATTACAACTTCTCATGTTATATCCTTTCTCAGATACAATGATGCCTGGCCCAATTCAGACGTAGACAAAAGGAGAAGCTTATGTGAGCGACAACAAAATGGTAGTGTTAAAAAGTTCTTATTCCAACTTCAGGGTTGCTAAAGCTATTGAAACCCACAGCTACTTACTTTTAACTTATTTTTAAAAATTTAATAAGTTTTTTAAAAGCAAAAACATAAGACAGAATGAACTGGAAAGTGAAGTACAGCCCACTAGACAGGGCTAACCCAGTTCAGACTCTGTTCCCAACTGCCCTTGGCTTCGGCCCATTCTACCCCTAACTTATCACGAGAAGTGTGAAGTAGTTTAGTTCCAGGTCACTGCGAGTCAGCAAAACAGTGATCACATTACGAAAAAGAGAAAGTTTAAGTAAAGAGAAGCGCAGATCAACACAATAACAGTCATTCAGTACAGGGGAAAAGCAAGACAGACAGACAATACCCAGAACAAGTGTAGCCTGAGGGAAAGAAAAGAAGCAAAGGCACGCACCCATCAACACTCACAAGAAGGAAAATAACATTTGAAAATTGATTTTTCAAGACTTGTTGCTTATGACGTTGAGAGGAAGTTCAAAAAGAACCAAGGAGGTTACAGCGACATTTCATGAGGAAGCAGAATAGGACCAAGGGAGAAAAAAATACAACACTGGAAAGGTGATTCACTGTTGATGCTGAAGAACTATACAGCTGAAATTGATGGCGAGGCAACGGGACAACAGACACAGTTACCCCAGGAAGCAGATGAGAAGAATTACACTGAAAGAAAAGAGTACAAATCAAAGAAGAAAAGCAGATCACGGCCCCTCTTTCCCCCCCCCACCCAACCACCCCCACAGGTGAGTACAGGTGTGTAAGGTATGTGCGTGACACTCACATCCTTGGCCTCAGCCTCCAGCTTCTCCATGGTAACCATGAGGTCCCCGTCCTCCTCTGTGCTGTTGGGGGCTGGGGACAGGCTGGAGCCCGGGCTGCCTGAGCCCACCGGGGACCGCATCACGCTCTTGTACTGAAACAAGCACGGCCAACACACCACCCAGTTAGCCCAGCCTCTGAGGCATACACCAATGTTGTTCAAGTGCTTGGGGGGGTTCTAGTGTAAAACTGAGTTTGTTTTGTTTTCGTAAGAGCTTTACGGCATTTGCAGCAATATAAGGTCATATAAGTGCTGAAGACAACAGTCTGTGCTATAAGAACCACTTCACAACAAAAGAGAAATTGTTGCTATTGTTGCTGTCTTTGTTATTGTTGGACTAGCTTTTAGCTAGTTGGCAGAATAACACGATCATTGCATCAGAAAGAAATGTTGCCGCTGTTGCAATATTAGACTTGAGTGTACACAAGTTGCCACGATAACAACCAAGCTGATTGTTTGTTTGCGTGAGTAAGGACAAGCACATCGACACTGTAATGGTCATTTAGTGCAGGGGAAAAAGTAAGTAAGACAGAAAGAAACAACAAAAGGGAAAGTAAAGAAGTAGGACCTAACACCGGCGTCCTCCAATCACTCATAAAAAAGTTGTCAGACAGAATGTTGCAATTGCTATTGTTGTACTGTAGATTACCAGCAAATTTGGACTGTAACACCCACTTAATCACAGAGGGAAGACAATGTTGTTTGTGGACAGTGATGTAAGAAAAGTCTGAACAGCAACCACCACAATTCTCCAGACAGCAAATCCGGACAACAAAAACAACGAAAAAGCTGACCACACCAAAGCATTGATGACTTGCTGAGCAGTATTTCCATTGCCAGTCAGCACAGAGGCTTTATTTTCAAAAGGAAGCAGGTTTTCAGATAAGGACAATAGTGACACCAAAAAGAAGAGACAGGAGCAGACCACAACAAAGCAGCTACCAACCACCCAGTCACTGAGAAATCTGCAAAACTTCACCCACACTAGTAGCCCAAACTCCAACACAGCCACATAGACACTCGACAAGGCCAATGACTTTAAGCATAGAGAATGAAACAAATGTTAACCCTACTAACCCTCAACAAAGCTTACAGAATTTGTTCTATTAAAAAAAAAAGACTTCGTCGATTTGTCCTATAAATGTAAAAAAAAAAAATTGGCAAAAAACCAGACCAAAATGGAAACGAATATCAAACAGGACAACAACATCAGAAAAAGGTGCAGAGGGGAGAACATTTTTTTTTAAATCTTCCCTTTACCCAATAAGAGTACTCCTAGCTACATTCTTTAAAACATAACTCGCCCTCAAAACCTTTCTTATTTAAGAATGAAAATGAGATGAGAACAACATAAGACTCAAAAGTGAACTTGGTAATCAAGCTCATGTCTTTTACGTGCAACAGCGAAGCACCCAACCGCTAAATCACAGATACCAGCCCTCTGGCTGTGACACTGGGCTAGTCAAAAAGAATGCGACTACTGAACATAAACTTGTAAGTCAACAGGGGACCTGCCCTGCACTACAATGGGACATTGAGCTATCAGCCCCCAAAAATGGCACTAACAAGCAGGACGCTGCCTGAGCAAGGCAAACCCCCACTTCCCGAAACAAAAACCATAGCATGCCAATCCTTTTAGATCAATTTTACCCTATGTATTGAGCTCACATCTATTGCAAAAGCACACAACAAACAAAAATGTCAATTGCTGGCAATGGGTCCAAGGACAAATACATTGGAATGTAACCCGTGACAACGTTTCTGACACAACTGTTACACCATGTCCAGTAGGGAAAACAGCAAAGAAGTAAAAGCTCATTCCATACGAAATAAAACACTGACCACTCATTAGGAATAGAAGTTATCTATGGATAAAGGTAGTGACCAATAATTTTGAATAAAACTTGGTGAAAGAAAACGAAAAGAATAAATATCATATGAATAAGAGAAATAAAGCCATTGATGAAAAAACAAGGCAAGCAAACTGTCAACTGCTAAATTTGTCATTCAACGCTGTGACTCCTCGAACAGCTTCAAGGCTAGTCACCTTCTAACACCACATTCTACAAACAAATCTAACTGAGCCAAACTACGACACTAGCATGCTATTCTTTACTCTCTTGAACAAGGAGTAGCATGGACCCTAAACCCAACATTCCACTCTTAACAGCTCAGCTAATGCGCTTTAAGTTGATTTTGAAATTACAGTAGACCAAAGATTAGCGGCGCCACAACAAAGAAAGAAAACTTTAACAATTTTCTGAAGACGCAATAATTTTCAAAGTCCAGTTCCAAATGGAAATTTAGTAATGAGCAAGCAAGAATGATGTGAAGGAGAGCTAGATGCACACAGCATGCTGCAATGATATATAATTATTTGTTGGAGGGGGGTGTTGGTTACATCTCACTTAGCAAGGGGAAAGTCCCATGACGCTAACATTCAAATTCAGAACAACAGCATTTCCTCTAACAACTAACCGCAAACAAACAGAACAATTTAAAGAAGAGAAGAATAAACAAGGGGAACCATTTTGGAGTTTGCATGCAAAGGGGAAGTGCCTAAACAATGGTGAATGGCAATCTGTTAAGTACACAGGACAGACAATCTGGCTAAATCAATGGCTGCATCAAGGCTCAGACAGGGTGAAGGGAGACACTCATGGAAAAAGACTTTCTCATCTGAAGAGAGTAAAATTTCAACACAAAAACAGCAGTACAACACATCAAGCTTCAAACTTTCATAGAGGGGCAGGGTTGTGCCCAACAGTTGCTGTAAACACTAGTTTTCCAATAAAAATGAAAGTACGTTCTGACGCCAGTCAGAATAAAGCAGCAGCAGTGAAATCGTTTCAAAATCTCAATTATGTTTCCGACTTTTCTTGAACAATGTTTAAATATATTTCAGTCTCTTTTTCAAAAAGTTCACACCAGGCAAGATGCTACGTCAACTTTAAGACTTATCTTTCTGAGACTATTTCAGTATTATTTCAAGTGCTCCGGGATTCATTTTGACATGTTGCACATACATGTGAAGTATGCTGACAAAATTAATTACTTCTTGGATTTTAGCCCAATGGACATTTATTGGTTGAGTTTATAAAAAATGTGTTAAAAATCTACAAATACGATCCCTGAGTTGATTTCCCGTTAATATCCCCAATCGTGGATTACAGCAAGTAACTTGTTATGTCAGCACCCCTCTCATATGCAAAAACTATTAACAACTCTTTACTGGCAAAGAGAATGGCCTGGTCTAGAAGAACACACATATCAAATGTCATACCTGTGGGTTATCCTGAGCTAGATTGTTTATCTTATTCCAAGCATCATCTCGCTGTCTATGCTTTTCCTTTTCCCTGTGGGATGATGACAAAAGTAAAACACTTTTGAAATAGGAAAAAAAATTTGAGTCAAAATAGCCAAAGACAGCCACCCATTATCAAGGGAAAAAGTCATTGTCTTAGACAGGTAGATGTCTTGGCCAGTACCATTATAATTTTTTTTAAACACACCGTAAGGGGGAAGAGAGGGGAGGAGAATGGTTGTTTGTTCAGGTGATTGTCTTGAGCAGATTGCCGTTAAAGAAGATTCAACTGTACTTCTGATTCAAAGCCTCGACAATGAACATGACAGGAAAGCATGAACCTTCACTGCTTAAAGTTTTCTTCATATTCTCTCCTTCAACTATCTTACTCAATTCCGGATCTTCAATTCTTTTTATTTATGTACATTTTTACAAAGATCTTTATTGAGTATCACACATAAGCCTCAAGATACAAGTCACAACGGCATTAACTCAAGAGAGAAAAGATGAAATATGAGACCCACATAAAGACTGTATCTTCCATACAACCAGTACCACTAAGACTGAGAAAAACTTTCAAGGACTATAACTTTACTTTTGCTTTAAATATAATATACAAAATGTGTTGCATTAGTCTTTCTAGCAAAAGGTCATTTGAATAAAAGCATACTGTTCCACAGGTAACAGCCAGTCAGCTCTCCTCCCTGAGCCTTCTTGTGCCAAATGGATGTAAAGCCATAAAAACTCTCCAAATAACCAGCTCCAGTTTAAAAAAAAATTAATTTCTTTTTATAAAGCCATACCAGGAATACCAAGTACGACACCTAAATCACGAGCATGCACAACACTATATGAGCTAACTGGGTCCTTGAGTAGGGCAGGGACCAACAGACAAAGGAACAGAAGCTACTTACTTTTGACGCTCAACTTTATACTGTTGGGTGCAGTCATCAAACAGTTTTTGATTCATCTCCATGAACAACTTCAGAGCATTGTATATCAAACCATGGATAGTTCTAGAGGAAGACATTAAAAGAAACACAATAAGAAAATAAAAATGGTGAACGACTTGGCTTTTGTGGGTTTTTTTAGCAATCTCTCTTACTCTACCACTTTTTCTGAATTATATAATAACGACAATATTCCAACTAATACACAGACTTTAGCATTAATTATGAACACATTAAAAACAATCACACCCACACTTTAATTAACACTGGCTGCATATTTCTTTTTGGCAAATATACAATTACTAAACAAAAGTTAATCAAGTGGGAAATCACATGTTAATTATCTCTACATCTGTTTTGGCTGATGGAAACCAACACTAAAGCCTAAACGCAGACACAAATTACAAATCAACAGCCAAGGACTAGATTGAGACACAAGAGTGCATCAGATTTGCTCTTTGAAAAACAGTCTTGCTTTCTTAATCTGCGATCACCTTACACAGTTCCTAAAACTAACCACATAATACCTGAAATGTAGATCATGATTAACAGACGTGTCATATTATTATACAGCACAAAACCTCCAAGGTTATCTTATTACGCTATATCAGAGAAGCAAAACAATTCCTGAGCCAGATTCTTTATAAATGGGACAGCACATGTGCTTAGCTTGAGAAGAATAAAAAAATTAACGCAAAACAACTTGCAACTAAATTCTCTCTCTTTAGTATGAGCCACAAAATGAGTAAAAAGAAATCATGCTATACATGTGGGGATGGTAGGAGGAAGAGGAGTTCACAATTCAAATCATCTCACAACTTAACATGACTGGGTAAGTAAGTAAGACTTATGCAACAACAGAACCAGGGGGTTTTGGGGGTTTTATGTGAACGTCAACAACACAACAACACTGATCATGCAATAAAGCAGTCATGTCTGGGCCGCCACAAGGCATCAGTTCAAGAATGATTAAAACAGAGAAATCACTGGAATATATGATTTTTTTTTTCTCACAACATGAGCTCACAAAACACTCAAAGCTGAGGGACATTGGGGAGCACCAAGGATGTGTACAAGATTAAAAGGTTATCTTTTTCTTAAAGATACACGAGACTTTTGAAAACCTAAGATCATCCAAATGTTTCTAATCATAATTTCAAAAACTTTTTCTTCGACGTTATAGACCCCGAAATCTCTTTGAAGCGACTTTTCCGGGTATTTGAACAGGAGGACTCCCAACAAACTCAATTCAATTCTCCAACCCATGCTCGTTTCTTTTTTTTACATCCCCCTTCTTCATCTCAGGGATGATCAACTGCTGGTTCTTCAACCTGCAGAATATGTATGTGACTGTTTTTCCTACTTGGTAGGGCCCCTTGCCTTCAGGCAGCCATATTCCAATTTCAAAAGTACTTTATTTGTTTTCATACTGACTAAAGTATTTTCAGTTTTACTAGGGCCTAATTTTGAATTTTGCTCGGGTGGCTACTGAAATCTACTCTTAAGACCACCAAGGGGTCTTCAATGTGCACAACTTGCACACTGGACCTCCGAGATTTTTCGCCCTTATCCAAGAAGGCTAGAAGTCAGATCTTACATACCCTAAAATCAAGGATGTGGTTGAAAGACAGCAATAAGAAGGAGTCAGAAATAGCAATAGAAAGAGTCAGGAGTAAATGAGCGTGAAGCCGGGGGGGGGGGGGGGGGGGGGGGGCCAGAAAGTGGAGATGACAGAAGATGACAGAACAGACTAAAGAACAGGGTATTAAACCGGGGACCTATTGAATGACAAGCCTGCCAATTTTTGAAAAAGCAAAATAGAGAAAAATCAGCAAGGCACAAAAAATCCTGCCCCAATATTGAACTATCCCAACGCAAGTCTTACAAATAATAAAGAAGATCTCCATATTTATGGCCAACGAGACAAGACCAAGTCGGGATAGAGTAAACATACTGCGCTAATTCGGCTGACAGGTTTACTTGAGCATTATATGTAGCCGAATCGCCAAACAGTAAAAGACCCACAGCTAATCCGGATATTTTAGTAACACACCAGTTCTGGTATCGTCGATTTCATTCATCATTTTCACGTAAATAATTGTAAGAACATTATAATATAGCGCGGCTCCAAAATCGGGAAATTAAGAATTTTATTGGGAAGTCGGGAGCAGCGCATCTGATTCGGGAAATTCCAGACAAGATCAGGAAGTTTGACAGGCCTGGGATGAGTGGCAAACACCGTATCTCTAAACCACGAGAGCCCCTATATAGACTAAACAATATTTTAACTCACAATATATATATATAAATATATCTTATTCAAAATCAGAGACCATAGACAGTCAACATACTGTCTTCGAGTCCAACACACTACTCAAATGTACATATGCACTTTAGGATCCCCCAGCCCTTTATTCATCCTTCTCGTACATTTATTGGCAGTTCTGTTATCCATCTCATTAATTTCTTTTTAGCATCCACCAACTATGGACATTCTCATTAATTTCTTATCATCAGCTCTGCATCTTTTAAAATCTTTTGGAGTCTCTACTTCAGCCACTCTCCCCCTTTTACCCTTTCTCATAATTTTATCATCAGCCACTTCACTCCTTTTATCATCTATCTCATAAGTGCCTTACGAACAACATCACTATGCCTCATATCAGCCTTTTCATCAGCATGAACAACAAAGAAATTTCAAAGGTTGGGACCCATATCTTGAACCATAACCCCGGCATCTGCCCTTCCTAGCATGGCAGCAACCACTCTCTAAGAAACTGATCAGCTGACCAGAATACTGGATCGATAATAACAACACCAACCAGAGCTGAAATCTGAACCACAATAAAGTGGATGACCCCTCTGTGCATGAGCACCCCAATGCTTCCTGAAAAGCAGTGGGGAGGCAGGGGGATTTGCGGGCCAGGGTGGGGGGTGGGGGGTGGGGGGTGTCCTTACTTGTTCCAGTGCTCCTTACTGCGGTACAGGGCGGGGAACATGATGGGCAGGATGGCGGAGGCATTGTCGCTGATCAGACTCAGAATGTACTCGTTGTTCCAAAAGTACAGAGCCCGCTCCGCAACCTAAGAAAAGTCGTTTGTTGAATTGTATTTTAAGACAAGTTGGAACGCTGTTGATGATAGTCGAGTTTAATAGCTTGCGGCGAGTCAGAACAACAACGTCCACATTTTGCCAGCAGCAGATTACAATAACAGTAACACTGAAAAGAAGTAGGAAGAGAGAACCATACAAGAAAACCCACTAAGAACCTTTGTATAAGAACAGGTGGTGATCTCGGGATGGGGAGAGGAAGGGGGAGAGGGAGATGATATGCCAAAGCAACAACAGTTAAAACACCATCACAGTATAGAGACCAAAAGACCACACAATGACAGGGACCACAGAATCAGGATCAGCTCGCCATACACAGCAGCAGCAGCCGGTACAAGCTGACTCCCATCATAGACAGCTGAACGGCAAACTCAGCAACAACTTCATCTCAAGAAAGGAAACCTTGACTAAGGGGGATTATGATAGGACTCAATTTTGAAGCACATATTTCATTATTAATCTTTGTCTTAGGGTGGGATTATTCCTTTACTGAAAAAAAGGTTCCGGCATTGAATCAGAGAGCAGATGGTGAGTGAACGCCAACTCTATCATTAGGGAGGTGACCACTGTAGTGGCCACACACAAAAAAGGAATACTAAATCAAAGACACAAGCACATGAGTTGGACTGAAGGTTTTAGAGAGAAAAACTGTCCAAACATGGCCATGAGAGGTGGCTCCACGACACAAGAACAAGACACACAGAGCTCAAACACACACAAAAAAAACCCACAGTGACAAAAAGTTCTCTAACAGAGCTGGTACCTGAAGTTTCAGACTTTCATTGATAGTACCTACAACAACCCTGAACTCTCATTAACTCCATTCACCCCCCTCCCACCCATCAAACTTAAACAGTACAGAGTCCACAGCTTTGTGACAACATGCAGAAATAGGGCGGGGGGGGGGGGGATTAAAGCAAACAGCAAAAGCAGAAGCAGTATACTAGCACTCATCGAGCGCGTCAGAAAATTAAACACAAAATAATTTTTTACAATTTAAAACAGAGCAAAATGGATTATAAAAAAAAGGCCACAACAAATGGTACAACACTCATGTTGCACCACATTTTCAAGCAGTTGGTAGCGGGCTTTCACTCTCATGCACGCAGTCACAAATAGGTGGGTTGGGGAGTCCGGAGGTCAAGATATGACAACAAAATGCTGAGAGGGTGTGTCACAATGGTCAAGCCAGTACCGACAGGCACTATCAAATGGCCATTGCCCAGCTTACTTGTTCCAGTGCTGCTGGGTCTTATAGAGCGCGGGGAACATGAGAGGGAGGACAGTGCCTACGTTATCCGATATTAGACTGAGGATATACTCGTTATTCCAATAGTATAAGGCTCGCTCTGCTACCTGGGTAGAAACAAGAAACACAAACAAGATGAGTAAACTTTATTTTTCTTTTGGTTCAAAGCCCTGTGGCCAACGCCAATGATATTTCCTTCCCCATTTCCCCAATGGTTCAAGTTTCACAAGGGAAACAGTTCACCTCTTCTCGCTACAGGCAGTTAAAGAAAGGGACCCAGTCAGAAGACGCTCCAACTATATCAACTTTTTCTCCGTCACAAAGAAATATGTGACAGCCACACGTTTTTAAAGATTTTTCAAATTAGATGCTCTTGGGGAAAGGAGTGCGACAGTGACCAAGAGTGCATATATGGCATTATATAGTCTGATCTGTTGTGCCTTTACGTTTACATTATACACTAGGAGAGTGTGTGTGTCCTCGAGTACGACTGCCAGCAAAATGTACAGACTAGAATCCATTACTTGAGGTAGGAAACTCCATCTGATATCTCTAACAGATTCTAATTTTTCTGATGAAGTTTACAAACTACCCCAATCATATGTCAAGAACTTAAAAATTCTCCAACATCGTCATTACTAATTACCAGAAGATTCCGGAGCTCCATACAGCATCACCTGACAGAGATGTGACCAACACATGCTTGAAAAATACTGACCATGGTGTCAAATCATCCAGAGAACAAACAGCTGGTGGTAGGATGGTAGAAATGAGAATACAACGCTATCTTTTTTTGTTGTTTCAAACTCCTACATCTCCAGAGTCATAAATAGAAGAAACTGTGCTCATTAAAATTCAAACTACTGCATTTGAAAGAATTCCACAAGCATCACTATATTATCCTTTATCACTGATTTTTTTTCTCTATTCGCTCATTGAAAAAAAATAATTTTTTATTAAATGGGAATTCCTATAGCTTTCCCCACCACAAGAGGTGAAAATAGCCCAAGAGGATGACAGAGCTGTTCTCTCCCCCAAAGGCAGTAGATCGTACCTGGAAATGAGGACTTGAGACACACTTGGCCAGCTGCTTGAACAAGGGCTCCATGACCTTGGTGAACTCAGCCGGTTCTATCACATCTAAGATCTCCTCCAGTTCATTGAGAAACATCACCTGTGGCAGGAAATGTTGGAAACGGTCAATTTCTCCCCTTAACTCAGCACACCTTCAGACAGGACATAATTGAGGGTTTGTGTTCATTGAAAAGTAACTGAATAATATACTAATTACCAATTTCTTCCTCCAACTCACCTTCAACAAAGTTAAGTTGATATTTACTCTCAAAACACAAACACTGATTGATGGCACTTTGACTGATGTCATTATTCTTTTCTCCCCAATAAAAAGAGAAAGAAACATTTTTATTAATTAAAATGATTAAAGAGCAAAAAACAACAACCCTGAAATGTTTTTTAAAATAAATAAATAAAATCACTGAACAATAACATCTGATTTAATTCAAAGATTACCTCTTTTGGACTGTGAACTTTTGGCCAGAACTTTAACAAGCCCATTATCACCTGCAGAGAAACAAAGGTTTTGTGAGCAATGGTGTTGTAGTGCTGTACTCTGGAGCAGGTCAGTATGACAACAACACTTAAAAGGAATGAGAAAAGACGATGTAAAGCTGAAAAAAAAAGTAGAAGAAGCAGACCATGTACAACAAGTAAGGTTTGATTACTATTCCTTGGAGTATGCCACGACATATTTCCAAATAGGATGAATAAATGAGCTGCTATATATTTTTTTTCAACAATGTAAGTGACCTTTTTTCTTTGGGCTGGCACTTCCATTCTAGTATACTGGGATAAACACACCAAGTTAGACTTACAAAGCAACAAGTGTCTTTAGCTGAAAGGGAAATGATGTAAAGAAACAACTGGAAATCTTCAGTCTTTAAGTAAATAAATATGAAAGAATAAGTCTTCATTCTTGCCTACATTATATAATCAGACCTGCCACTCTATGAAATCTAAAAATCAGGATTTTAGAGTAAAAAAATCAGGATCTGGTGAAAAAAATCGGGATCAACGGCAAATCAGTGATAAGGGGCACTGGGGAGGGGGGTCATGGTTCCCCTTCATGGGGCAAGTATGCAAGACAAAACTTTTGAAGGAATAAATTCACGTTTGGGCCTCTAAATAGAGAGAAAACTGAAAGACAGCATAATATGTACTCGAGTCGGAGTTGGATAAACTGGGGGAGCGCAGGTTGCAGTAATGCTGAAACTCTCGTAGTCTTGAAAACAGATGGCACATAACTCTAATCATCCATGCAAAAAGCCCGCATTGTCATACAGTAACAACGTTTGACTTCCATCGCATATTCACTCAAGGCACCTCCCCCACCCCCGCCCCGAAAAAAAAAAATCTCGCCAAGGTTGTTCATTTATTTATTTTTTGTTATTCCTTTCCCCTCAATTAGCACCTGTATCACGGCACACACTTTAAGCCCATGTGAAAAAAAAATACACCCCCCCCCCCCCCCGGTTAAGTTCCCAAAACACCTCGACCATTGCGACCGGTGTGAGTGAACTTTGTTGACCTCGACAGCCAACAGTCCCCAACACACGCACTACTCACACGTCAGGTCACGTGATGCGAATGAGCGTTTGAAAGTTTCACTGACATGTTTTGATGATGGACCCGAATAACCAGTACCCAGACAAAGCTTGCTTTTATTACTTTTAAAGCAACGGCTGAACAACGAATAGCTTATTTTTAGGCCCATGTCATAATTGTTACAGTAATCAAGACACCATCGGAGAATTCTGAGTTTTAAAAGCGAAAGTAGATCTTGAGCGTATCCAAGTCGGAATTCAAAATTGATACTACGTCGATTTTAGCTGAAATACCGTGGGTGAGTCTACTAGATTCGGTATAGATGCTTTAGAAAATAGCGTTCCAAGTTCCTGCCGATAAAAAATCCAATCGGTGCTTCCAAGCAAAAGAGACTGCAAAACTTTTTATATTTTTTTCTAAGAATCGGATGCAACAGACCCAACGAAAAAAATCAGGATACTGGCGATCGAAATCGGGAAAATCGGGATGCTTGAGATTTGGGGCAAAAAATCGGGATATCCCGATTAAATCGGGATGAGTGGCAGGTCTGTATAATGTTGTCCACATGTCTTTGCTCTTCCTATAATAGCCAATAGCAGCAAAAACGTAAAGGACTACACAAACAAAAATGATGAAAGTACCTGCTCTGTGAGACTGGGGTCCTTCTCCAAGAACTGCACCACACAATAGGCCAGCTGAGGGTGGTACACACTGAGAGATTTGACCTTATGCAGCGGCAGCAACACTTTCAACAAGAAAGTCTTGTGCTCCTCCTTCAAGGGTAATGCAAATCCATTGATTATACTGAAACCAGGGAAAATCAAAGCAACTCTTGTCAGTGGTAAATTTAACAGACACAGAAAGAGACAAACACACTGGTTCTACAATGTGACATGGGAAAAGAAAGAAAATTTTACTGTATAAAACTGCTTTACATGTTATTCCTAACAGAACCTGGGCCTTATGGTTAGCGTAGTGTAACTCAATCCACTTTTATTTCCTACATCAATACTTACATCAACAGATGATAACAATGTAAGTACATGCACCCTCACATTTATATTGAAACAAGGAGTAAAAGGTACACTGTCAGAAAATGCAGAGAAAATGACAATGTCACAGTCTATGACATTAATTACTGCAGTAGATTTTTCCAACATCATTGCATTAAAAAATAAAAATTCAAGTTTCAGAACTTTTAGCACAGACAAACTATTTTCTCTTCAGTCAAAAAGGACAATACATAAGAGATGAAACGGAATAAATGAGAAAATTATATAAGAAAGATATCAATTCAAAAGTTGAAATAAACAAGCTAAATCGAGGCCCAATCACATGCTCATAGATAAGGTACTTGATTCTGTCAAAGTGCCTGGTTGGAATCAATATTCATTCACGCATGGAAAATGGGGGGTTTTCATAGGCTTTTCATGCCTCTTATCATAGGCTAAGAAGGGACCACCTTGCCATTTTGGGTAAGTATATGTACAAAAATCTCAGAGGTCCCATGCACTTGTTGCACAAATCAGGGCAACTGAAAATTTAAAGATAATCAGCCCACCATGGCAGAATTCTAAGTTAATTTCAACCTATAACTGAGGATAACTACATAAAAACTGCCAAAAAGTGGCAAGGGCCATTATATTCTATCAAAATAAGCCATACATGATGCTTATCAAAATGACAGTTGCACTGTAAAGTGAAGAGGTTAAGGAAGAAGGAAAAAAACAAAACAGGGACAAACTATATGACATACCTTCCTAGAATTTCTAAAAGTTCTGCAATGCCATTATGTCTCTCTGTTTCATAAACAAAACTGAAAAAAGAAAAAGAAACAAAGACATTTGTGATTTGTTAAACATTTCACAGACATTTGATGAAAGGAAAAACATCAGTTAAGTTTTAGTAGAGTTTTTTTCAGCACTCGCAACTCCATAAGGTCATATGAGCGCCACGGGGTGGATGTCAACAGAGAAGTTCTTTCAGGGAATCCCCGGAAATAGCGGGTCACAGGAGTGTGACAAAAATACAAAAGAAGTAGAGGAAAAATGACGATAGTAAGGATTAGGAGAGAAAAAGCAGCATTTCCCTGTTGCAGTTCAGGCACAGTTATGAGCATGACATTGATGAATCCGCCCATTTACAATTTACAATTCTACTGTACATAAGAACATATTTATGTTCCCCTTTGGGAATGGGCCTAAAGACACTTCAGTCAGTAAAACCGCACCCGGGGGGGTAGGAAAAACATCACAATTTTTTTGCTGAGAGCAGGAAGCAAAAGGGCAACTTGTCTTGAAAAAAAAAAAATGCCTTAGCACAAAACAAGTTATGAAGACGAAAGAGAGAGGGGCAATACCCAATATTTGATTGCTTGTAGAGTCAAATTGTCCAAGATGGCCACCCATTGTCAAGAAGAAAATTGCTTGCCTTAGACATCTTGGACAGTGTCATTATAATAATTTTTTTTAATAATATAAATTTTTGTTAACGCAAAGGAGGGGAAGTGATTGTGTGCAATAGCTTAAACTATTCATAACAAGATAATCAATGTACATTTGAAAATTTTCAGGGCAAAATTGCAAAACTAGCCAATAATCCAACAATAAACATTCCACGCACCAGACAATGATTTTGAGCAAAGAGTGGCGTTTGTCACTGTCGAGTTGTACCATATGGCCGGTCATTTTTAAATTTAAAGAATTTTAGAAAGTTTTACAGCACTTGACCCACAATCAGGTCATATTAGAGCCGAATATTAAAGGTTCTACTAATGTGTAACATACAAACAAAAGAAAGTTAATTTTAGCAGAGGTTTTACGGCACTCGCAACTCCATAAGGTCATACGAGCGCCAGAAGATTAGAAGTGTTACAAGAAAGTAACAAACATAAAAAAGGAGGGGAGATAAGGACGATAGATGTTTGAAAGGAAAGAAGAAGCAAACCACACCACAGCACCCGCCAACCACCCACAACAAAAGGAGGAGAGATAAAGAGGATAGATGTCCGACAGGAAACAAGGATCAAACCACATTACAGCACCCGCCAACCAACCTCTGGGTCAGAATTGACAACCAACTTTTGCCACAAACTGACACGCATAAAAGAACCATTAACAAGAAGCTGGAGTATCCTCCGACCATCTTCCTGCTACAGTTGAACCTGCTCCGTACAAAAAACGACCAACTGTCCAAGACAATCATTTGTACAAGCGACCACTTCCCACCTTGCATTTCTTTCCCCTAAAGTATAATAACGACACTGTCAAAGACATCCAATAGGACAACCATTTTTCTCCTTGATAATGCATGGCCGTCTTGGACAATTTAGATTGTGCTAAACTTCAGAGTCAGTTAGATGGCTACATTAAAAGCCTTTCTGTTTGCTGGTATCTCAAAGTCAGCATAGAGCCATACAAATCCCCTCAATAAAAGCAAGATGTGACTCCAGACAAGAGGCATAAGGTTACCACCGCTGGCTATTCATTTGCATGAGTGGCGAGCATTAAATAAGTCTGTCACACAAAGCAGGTGATTATAATGTCAATCAATAAAGAAACACTACAGGCTTTTGTTAATGGCAATTCCACATTCTTCTGAGCTGGTTGCCAGACTTCCTGTACTGTACAGCCAAGCTGGTAGTCTGTTGGACAGATGCAAGCCCAATCTTAGTTTCACTTTACAGCACACCATTCTAATCTTCTTTTTTTCCCCCTAAATGTAGGTGTTTTATGCCCCCATTGATACAATTTAGATCATTTAAAAGGAAGGCATCCAACCCTGTTTGTCAGGGCCCAACAAGGCTGAGAGGGATACAACATTCCAATCGAAAGATGGGAGATGCTCAGTAAAAAAAAATTCGCCACACTCAGGAATAAAACTCGAGTCTCCAGCATGCCACAGAAAAGCACCTGACCCCTACACCACAGACACACTGGTGCGTCATTTTTAAAGATAGACAATGTGAAGTCTTTTAATTTACTCAGTCCTCTCAAAGAAATTCTTTAAATCAGATGTACCTCCTCTTAAATAAATTCAGAGCTCAGATAGAGGAGGGTTGAACCCCAGTAAAAGTAAAAGTAAAGTATGACCACCCATTTTGAACTGCTTGACAGGGTGAGCAGAGGTTCGTAGAAATGTTTCCCAAAAAGAGGAAACATCAATATGTGAACCTGAACGCCATAACTCCACAGGGTTACCTTGACTAGGACTTGGACAATCCCAATGACTTTCTCAATGTTTCAGACCTCCCCTCCTTTTTTCTTCCTCTTCCCCATCCCAAGAAAGAAACTTTTTTTCTACAGTAAATTCCACTAGATATCAAACATCCCTTTTAAGTATACAACCATCACTGGCATGCCTCCTCTATTCAAGAATATTTTTTCGACTGCTCAGGGTAAGAAGACTCCATCATACATCACTTTTCCAAATGGCATATGGTGGAGCCTTACACTAGGGAGCAGTCGTAAAAACTAAAAGAACCCCTGCGAGTTGTGACTTGAGTAATCAGCATGCCGCAAAAGAACTGAATCAATGCACAGTCAATAAACAGTTTGTTTCTAGAGCACAATTAGCCCACACCAGTCAGTGTCATAGTAGAAGTGCCTGCCTTTTCTAGACTAGAGTAATGCCATCTGATTCCCCCTAGTAGATGTTGACCTTTAGAGCTGTTGAGTACCTCAGGGTAGGGAAAATCAGCAGCAAGTGTACAGCCAAGAAATCAATACAGTAACATTGGTAAGACAAAGATCGCGCTCCACAGGAGGTATTTATAGGAATTAATATAATAAATAACCTTTTGATTTTCCCATCCCTGTCTGTAGGCAAGCCACTGTGTCATCACACAGTATGTCAGGGGGTATCATTTTCTATTAGATATAATGAAGAACCATGGCCATTTTTGTACTCCACTACCACTGGCAATGTTCTCTCACGTATGTACTATTTCTGGCTCATCTGTCTTTGGTAATAACTAACATCAATCAATTCTAGCATATGTTTCTGGCACATCTTTGCAAACATCATCAGTCAGTGTTAAAGAATATTTCTGGCCTATCTGTATAAATAACATCAATTGATTCAAGCGTTTATTTCTGGCCCAGCTTTGTTGATAAAATTGATCAAATTCAGCATACATTTCTAGTCCTTCTTTGTCTATAAGATCCATCAACTTTAGCACATATTTCTGACACAGCTTTGGTTATATACAACTTTCAGTTTACTACATTAGTAACAATAGTTTTCATAATTTTTAGCATATACTTGTCTCATCTTTGTCACAAAAATTAACTAACGCGATATGACCAAGTTGTAGTGATTCAGGTGTCACAATAAAAATAGCCCCATTTTTCAATTAGAGAATAGGTAAGTGACACTGAAAAGAACAATAAGGAGCAGACTGCACCAGAGCATTTACCATCCCTATTTTGTACATTGGAGGGACAGACAGACAGACAGACAGACAGGCAGACAGACAGACAGACAGACAGACAGACAGACAGACAGACAGACACACACACTCACATACACACACACAAAGACAGACAAGGAGGCAGGGCAGGTGGACCGACAAAACGTTAGAATAAAAGAGAAGCCCTATAAACAGACAACGATCCAAAAAGTAGGAAAAAATGTGTGTGCCCCACGCACCAATATCAAAAGAGAACTGATACACACAGACACCCCAAAGACATAAAGAGAATCATAAACTGAGTTAGCATAAACAGTGCAGATTAAAAGTAATAGAAAGATAGAAAAAAACAGATGGAAAGAAAAGAACTAGGACCCACCAGTAGCATCCTTCAACCACCCACAATAAAAGAAAACTAGGAACAAACAAAGAGCTAAAAAAATGCGAACAGTCCATTTCTTACCTGTAAAAAATGTTGTTTATATGTTTCCTAATGTACGCCCTCAGCCCCAAAAATTTGCCATATATCCTGTGCAATATGGTTTTGAGGAAATCTCTCTCACGGGGGTCTTCACTGTCAAATAAATCCAGAAGCTGAGAACAGAACAAAATGGGAGGGAAAATGTATACTTCTCTGTGTTCGGAACTTAATATTTTCATGCAACCTTAGGTCAGTGCCTACTTTCTGAAATGATGATACCACAATACAATACATTCCAGAGAGCAACACTATGAAAATTGGGGGTGTCGTGTGTGAGATACTAGCTTCACAATCACACCCAACAGACAGCAGAAATTGTGGCTTAACCTTTTCAAGCAAAATAAACTTGGCAATATAAATAGTAATATCAGCAAGTATTAGCCTCTAAAACTGAGAAGATACAAACAAAACACACTATTTAAGCTGATGATACGGCAATAATACCCAGAGCTGGGGAGATACTGTCTAAAAGAAACATGAGTAGTGTAAGAGGTAATATAATAAATTTTCTTAACAAGGAAAGAAAAGGTCTCTTTTCAGAAGAGTCACTAAAACAAAAGCTCACTTAAAAGAAAAATGACAAATGTAACGCTTTTAAGTTGCACAAGAAGCTGTTGCCTGCCAACACAATTTTTCAATTGCCAAAACCAAATTAGATATTTAATAATATAAATATCATATCCTACACAACTTTTATCATCGTCATTTTAAAGTAACGCATCTGAGACATCCTTAAAGTAATATATTAAGCATTAAATAAAAAAAGAGCCATTACCTGTAACACAAACTTCTGGTCTATATACCGTTTGGCTGTGTTGGGCTGAAAGTCTGGTGACTCGAGGAACCTCAGGAAAAACTCATACACCAGCTGCACAAAGAAAGAAAGAAAAAAAAAAGAGACTACATGAAGCTTGATAATTCCCAGTTTGAGTTTTTAGTTTAGTTTTAGTAAGAGTTTTACGGCACTCGCAACTGCATAAGGTCATATGAGCGCCAGAAGATAAGAGGTGTTACAGGAGAGTAACAAACATAAAAAAGAAGAAGGGGAGATAAGGACGATAGATGTTTGATAGGAAAGAAGGAGCAAACCACACCAGAGCACCCGCCAACCACCCACAGTTTGAGTTTGAGTAAAGAGAAGCACATCAACACAATAAACAGTCATATGGTGAAGGGAAAACACGAGACAGATAAACAGAAACAATAGAGGGAAAGAAAAGTAAGATCTACCAGTGGTTTAGTTTTCGGCACTTGCAACACAATAAGGTCATATAAGTGACCAAGAATAGACGTGTTAAAAGAGAGTAACATACACAAAAAAGAAGGAGGAAAGATAAGGGCGATAGATGTTTGATAAGGTCATATAAGTGCCAAAGGTTAGAGGTGTTACAAGGGAGTAACAAACATAAAAAAAGGAGGAGAGGTAAGGACGACAGACGTTTGATAGAAAAAAAAGTAGCAAACCACACATGAGCACCCTCCAACCACCCACCTACCAGTGGCGCCCGCCAACCACCCACTTATAAAACAGAGAAGGAATGAAAACTGCAACCATTGTAGAAGGAAGCAAGTGAACACAACGCAGGAATTGCTTAAAAGAAGCAGTAGCAGCAGACCACCAACCATCAATCTAAATCTAATTTCATGGTTCTTTGCAAGAAAGGGGAAAGATGTCGTCATCACAGATGGGTTGCAATCATATCAAACTGAAGAAACAAATGTGTGAACAGAGGGGATGTGATCCTAGAAATCGTAAGGAAAGAGAGAACTCGGAAACTACAAAAAAAAACAACCCCAACTTTAAACAACAAAACTGCATGTGTAGTGCGCACAGTACAGGGTGCATGATCATACATAAACACACCAACATGTTTTAAAAAGAAGATTCGTCTTTTCGGTGAGAAAATGTCTAGTACAGTGTTAACTTTACCACTGATCATTCAAATGACAGAACCATCCTGCCTCCAAGTGTCTTCCTGAAACGCTGACAATGCAACGTGGGTGTGGTGAGGAGTGTGGCGGTGATGGTTTTGGTACTAAATTTATCAAACTATTCCCTCCCATCCTATTACTGGTCACAATAAACAATTCACCACCGCAGTCACCCTTTCCAACCCCCAAAGCACTTCTATAGTTTAGAAGCCACTATGACTCTAAATCAACTCAATGTCCACTTCCAACTACACAAAGCACAGAGACAAATGCACTTGACTAGAGATTATCAATTGATGAAGTTCTGACCTGACTCAACCCCTGACAGATAACAGCTAATCAAACCTACAACTTCACATCTACAGCATGGAAAAAGTAAACAAAGTGCATAGAGAAAGGTCAATAACCAGGAACAACCCTAGATATAATAACATATACCAGCTTTAAGAATAAGTTTCTAAATACAATGAAGAAATTTTCAATCTTTCCAAATGTGGGCTAAAGTGTGCTTGTCAATGACTGAATTGTCAGTGTCTATATAATAAAATTCAATCTCATCTTATTTTTACTTGTGCACTAGAACGTTTTGTTTGTTGTTTTAGTAGAGGTTTTACTTCACATGCAACCGCATAGGTCATATGAACGCCAAAGGGTGGATATCAACAGAGAAGTCCTTAGGGAATCAGACTTACTCTGCTCACCTCTCTAGCTTCAACAGCACAAAGTATGCTTCGACTATCAAGGCACCCCGGAAATAGCGGGCCACAGGACTGTGACAAACATACAAAAGAATAAGAGGGAAAATGACGATAGTAGGGATTAGGAAAGAAAAAGCAGCAGTTCCCAGTTGCAGTTCAGGTACAGTTATGAGCATGACATAGATCATCCCATTTACAATTCTACTGTGCATAGGAACATGGTTAATGTCCGCCCTTTGGGAATGGCCTAAAGACACTTCAGTCAGTAGCACCGCGCCAGGAGGTGATTAGTACGATTGATTGGGTTTGAGTCTAAATAAAGAGAAGCACTTCAACATAATAATGGCTATTCAGTGATATATAAAAGCAAGATAGACAGCTAAAAACAAAGCAGAGAAGGTGAAGCTGTTGGAAGCGGTGACCTGAAACTACCACTGTGTAAATGCACATATCGATGCATTTGAAAAGGGAATAAAAAGATGCGCCCTGCAAAAATCACATAAAAACATCCACATCCCCGCACACACAAAACACACAGAGAGACAGACAAGATGGGAACAAACCTGTAAGTGTGGCCATGCAGCCTCTAGCGTGGGTTCATCTTCCTCTGGGTCAAACTCCGCACCACTGGGATTGGACGAGGGGGGTAATGTTCTGAACAGGTTACCTGAAAACTGAAACAGAAAATTCACCATATTAAGAATCAGATCATTTTGTTTCGTTTGTTTGAGTAAAGAGAAGCAAATCAACAGAATAATGGTCATTAAGTACTGGGAAAAAATAAGACAGACAGACAGAAACAACAAAGGGATAGATAAGAAGTAAGCGCTACCAATTTTGTTTTCAAATTGAAAGATATCCCACAGAACAAACAGTAGACAAGTGACACAAAACAGTTAACAGTTATTAACAGCAAGTGCACTTGATCTGAATCGAAAGATGATATGAGAATAATGTATGTGGTTATGGTTATATTCGGGTGACCGTCAAAATCAAAGCACCTCTCCACAACCTACATTATTTGTCAAAAATGGCAAATGTGAACTGGGCAAAACAACTGCTTCACGGCAAAAAGGACCCCCCCCCCCCAAAAAAAAAATTATTTCTTTGGGAACAAAGATACAACCACTTTGAATTTTTTTTTAAAGAATCAAAATGCACATTGCCAATACGCTTTCCAAGATGGATGGCACATCAGTCGTGCAGTGATTACTTCAATATATGGTAAAGTCCGTCTCAGGCAATGTCAAACAAAGCCATTTGCGGGTTATTTTCAGGACCATTGTACCTTCTGTTTATCCGCTCAGTTTGACTTAAGTATGTATGTGTGTGCGTGTATGCGCTCGAGTGCCAGAAACTATCAGTGGTGTGTTTGTGTGCGTGTTTGAAATGAGGAGACACAGAAAATGAGAAACACAAATTCCAAATTAAGCTTTTTAGTTTAGTTTTAGTAGAGGTTTTACGGCGCTCGCAACTGCATACGGTCATATGAGCGCCAGAAGATTAGAGGTGTTACAAGAGAGTAACAAACATTAAAAAGAAGAAGGGGAGATAAGTACGATAGATGTTTGATAGGAAAGAAGGAGCAAACCACACCAGAGCACCCGCCAACCACCTACCCAAAAGAAGCAATCACCCCAAGAGCAACTGACAGAACATGAAAACTCAATTTGATAGGCCACCTCTTAAAAAAGATCTAAATTGTGTCAATGGGGGAGTGAAAATATTTGTACATATATCCCCAAGCGTCTCTCTCTCTCTCTCTCTCTCTCTCTCTCTCTCTCTCTCTCTCTCTCTCTCTCTCTCTCTCTCTCACACACTAGTCTCCTCCCTTAACAATAATTACAATC